CAGGGCCTTCTGCATGCTAGGCAAGGTCTCTTCCAATAAGCTACATCCCTAGCTCTAGTTTAAAATTTTGTTTTGAGATAATTGAAGGTGCACATTCAGTTGTAGGAAATAATACAAATATATCTCATGTATCCTTTATCCAGTTTCTTTCATGGTAATATCTTGCAAAACTATAGTACAATATTATAACCAGGATACTAATAGATACAGTTAAGATACAGAACATGTCATATATAACTAAGAACTAATAATTTTTTTAAAAAAAGATACAGAACATTTCTATTATTACAAGAATCTCTCAAGTTGCCCTTCATAAGCCTCCAGAAACTACTGACTTGATCTTTCTATATATTTTAATTTTAAGGATTTTATGTAAATGGAATTAGAAAATACACATTATTTTGCCCCCCTTTTTTGTGTGTAGTTCTGGGGATTCAGCTGAGGGCATCTCCTATTGCTGTCAGTGCTTTACCCTTGAGCTATATTCACAGCTCAATACATATCCTTTGACCTCTTTCGCTCAATATAATTCTCTACAGATCATCCAGGTTGTTGCATGTATCATTCCTTTTTTTTTGCTCAATAGTGTTCCAAGGCATAGATGTATCACAGTTTAACCATTTTCCCATTGAAGGACATCTGTATTGTTTCTAGTTTTTAGCTGTAATGAGGAGAACTGCTATTAATAGGTGCTTCTCCCCCAGCCCACCAGTGATAGAGATTAAACCTAGGGCTTGAGTGTGGGCTCTGCCACTGAGCTACCCCAATTCTCTCAGTGAGACAGGGTCTCACTGTGTTGCCCAGGCTGGCCTCATGATCCTCTTGCCTCAGCCTCGCAACACAGGGCACCATTCCCAGCTTACCTGCAAGTTTTACATGAGCACAAGCCTTCATTTCTCTGACAAATGCTCAGGAGTGCAATTTCTGGGTCATGTGGAAGTTGCATGTTTAGTTTGTGTGTGTGTGTGTGTGTGTGTTTGGGGGTACCAGGGATTGAACTCAGGGGCACTTGACCACTGAGCCACATCTCCAGCCCTATTTTGTATTTTATTTAGAGACAGGGTCTCACTGAGTTGCTTAGCGCCTCCCTTTTGCTGAGGCTGGCTTTGAACTTGGCAATCCTCCTGCCTCAGCCTCCCGAGCAGCTGGGATTATAGGTGTGCACCAGCGCCCCCAACCGCCCCTGTTTTTTAAGGCCAATGACTTTATTGATCTAAAAACTTTACAAGGACAGTGATTTATGCCATAAAAGGCACCAAATGGAATCAAACAGACCAGAAGTGAAAGTTGGGGTGAGGGAAGGGGCCAAAAGCCCAATCAGAAAAGTTTGGTTAAATGTTTCCATGAAACTAGCAGGGGAAGGAGGAAGGCAGATGCATGCAAGAGCAATAATTCCAAAAAGATAGAAATGGTGAGGGGAGAGAACTCTGAGAGACCCTGAAGTACAACAATAGGAATCTTTTCCTTTGTAGAGGACAAGGAACCCCCACTCAGCTGCCAACTCTGGACATTCAATGGGGTTGGGAACTGAGGGTTCTCCAGAGCACATCACAAGAAGGCATCACACCATTCTTGAAAGCACCCAAAGCAGTCCTGGGACTCTTTTTTGGCCTTGGAGCCCCATTTCCTTCAGCCATTCTGGAAGAGATCTTCATCTTTCTTTAGCACCCAAAACTAGGACCACATATGTCTTATGAAAGTCCTTTTCCTCCAGCTTCTTGTCCAGGACTTACTCAATCCCGGCCAGGCTCCCCACTGGCATTCCCTCCATAGACTTTGACACGAAATCTCTGTGCTTTTGTGGTGCTGCCATCGTGATCAGGCTTAATAGGCAGCTCCTGCTCCCATAATGGCCCCTTTTACCACTCGGCTGCTCCAGCCAGTACTTCAAACCACTAGAATTTTTCTGTCTCCTCTCCTTTTACATTATTGAAATAACTACATCAAGTCTCCCTACTCCCGACCATCTTCTTTAATGGTGTCAAAATTCATTTTCAGACATGGGCCAAAAAATTTTTGAAAGATGACATATCTTGGTATAAATGTAGTAGGCATTTGGATTCATCTAAGTTAAAGAAAGAGACATTGGTTAGAACTTTTGTGAATTGTCTCTATTAAGTTTATGGTTAAAGTTATACAAGTAGATGAAATGACTCATGCAGTGTGGGTGGAAGAGAAAGAAAGGAACTGAGTCCAGAGACCATTCATACTTAAGAGTTGGGTAACTGAGTAATCAAAGGGCTAGGATATACTTTGGAAAGTAAAACAAGAAGTGAGACATTAGCAAAAGAGCATATAATACAGTGTTATATGCCAGATGAGAGACAATTTAATTGGAAGACTAAAAATATATCTTGCATTTGGTAGCTAAAGGGATGAGTGTTCATTTTTGCTTGGCAGTTTCAGTAGAAATGCAGGCAGAAGACCAGGGATACCTACTTGAAGCATGAATGGGAAATAAAGTGGAGGTAATGAATGAAGCGATTCTTTGAACGTAAAGTGAAAAGAATAAGCAATAATTAGAGAGTATTAATGGAAAAAAATGATTTTTTTTTTTAAAAAACTGGAGGCCAATGTTTTAGGATAAAGTTGAATTACTGGGGAGAATACCCCCAAAATATAGGAAAAAATCTTATAATTAGTCATGTAATAATACCCCAAATTTATCTTAATGAAAAATTATACAAAAGAAAGGAGAGATTTAAGGAGAAAGGTTCTGGAAGAGATGGGAGAGAGGATTTGGTTCAGACTGGTGGGAGGGAGGTGGAGAGGGGTAAGCTGAGATTAATTTGTGTTTGGTGAGTTCAGCCTAATGGCTTTCCTCATCCTTGGGGTAGTGGGTTTGAGAAGAGTCCTGAGGGTTGGAGCAGTCATTGAAGAAATGAGAGATGGTGCTGATTAATCACAAGGAATAGGATTGTTGAGTCTGAGGGAAAAAAACACGTTTTTAGTGTTGTCAGTTTGTATAGTGTGGCCAGGGTGGGCTTGAGAAATTAAATTGGGAGTTTAATAGCAGAAGAGGATGTGGAGTCAGGAGTGGATAGTCTAAGAGAACTGAAGTAGTGATTGTGAAGCCAGAATTAGACAGGCAGTCAGCATAGATAGGTAAATTGAGTCAAGTGGGATCAAGGAGGCCAATTTTGAGTGAGTCCAGGAAGTTGGAGACTCCCCTGAAGGATTGAAATGTTAATTTCTACAGAGCCCTTCCATCACCCTTATCTAGAACCTGCCCCTGCTCCAACCTGTTGCCAAGGTAACCGCCCTACAGGGAGCTATAAGGTTGTTAATGTGTCCTTAGTTGCACCATTCTGCCTTTCCCCCTTCATCCCACCCGTTTCCACCTTTTGGCCATCCCACCAAGGATTTCCTAGGCCTAATCCTGTATGCAGGAAGGAGAGAGATAAGGGGAAGAGGGCAGAACAAAGGAAGCTCAGGACTTATAAAAAGGGCAGAACACCTCGATTCTGGGGACAGGATATTGCTATGGCCCCCTTCTCCCTCCCTATGTTCCTCCTATGTTATCCCTTTCTAAACAAACCCTGCTTTATATGCTTGCCTCCAGAGTGCTTCTCCAATGTTCAAATATCAAATGTGGGGGAGCAGAATTCGTGGCAGATAACCAGTAGTATCAATTGGGTTGGAAAAAAGGTGTAGAATTATTGAGCAAGAGAAATATGGAACAACACTTCCTGGCTAGAAAAGATGATATTGGAGTTAAGATTTCAGATGTAAAGAAGCTTGAGATAATCATGAGGTCCAAGAGAGAGAGAGAATGCCACAATGAAAGAGATGAAAGCCATTGTTTCAAAGGACCCTACAGTGTTAAGGAATTTGTTTTTTATCTTAGAATTTATGGAAAGTCAAAGAAGGGATAGGACCATATTAACCTCTCAGAAACCTTACTCTGATGGTACTGTGGATAATGAATTAAAAGAGGGGCAACACTCAAAGCAATCAGAGACAAGTTCATTACTTCTGCACCCAGCTGAAGGGACTTGTTTTAGATAAGTTTTCTGCCACATTTTCTACCCTCTTCATTAAACCCAGTTAATTGAACCAATCAATCTTGATTTTGTGCTCCTGGAAAGACCACCATCCCTCAACTGTATTTTGCTCACAGCCATCTTTACTAAATGTAATTAAAACTCTTTTCTGGGCTAATTTCAGGAAAAATTTGCTCTATATTCTTATGTCATTAAAGTTATGGGGCCAGGTACGGCTGTTGTAATTGGAAATAGTGTCACCCTGTTCTTGCCATTCACTATTTTTCTGAGAGTCTCTGGAATTTTTTTTCTGAAAAATCTCAGCCATAGACTTTCCCTGTGTTTCCTCACGCTGAAAATATACTTCATATGTTTATATTTGTCTTTCCTAGCAGGTCCTGAATGCCTTTATATTAAACTGTATCGAATTCATCTTGTTATAACGTGGTACTTAGACATCCTAGAATTCTGGATCCGAAATATAAGTTTAACAAATGTTCGGTGAGTGAGTCAATGAATGAATGATGACTCCCATAATAGACTGGGATGCAACTCTGTCCTCCTGGCGGCTACGTAATCTTAAGGTCCCAACAAGTCTGTTCTGGAATAGGTTTAGCTGCAATGCCCAAGCAGTTTTCGGACTAACAGAAAGTGTCACTCCACTAGATCCGCTTCATTTGGAAGTGGCTGTAAGAGGACACTAGCAAGCTTGTTTCCCCCGAGGCTGTTTTCCGTATAGCAGCATGGCAGCTGCCTTCCTGAACTCGGCCGCACGTTCCCTCTGCGGGTAGAAGTTGAAAGCTCTGTCCGTACAGTATCATGGCGCCGCCCGTGGGAGCCGGTCACAGCATCACGCCCGGGGGAAGAGGCCGCCGTAAAGGAGGCGCCGCTTCCTCTTCTTACTTCTCCCGCCTCCCACCGGCTGTCGTAAAAGGGTGAATGGAGAGCGAGTTGTGGGGGGGAAAGAGGGAGGACAGGGGGCGCGGAGTCAGAGTGGCGCAGCAAGTGGCTGCAGGTGGCGACCGTGGCGGGGGTTGGGGAGTGAGGTAGTCTAGGCGTCGCGGAGGAGGAAGGTGAGAGGGTCCAAATAAAACTAAATCTGCAGTCTGGCCTACTGGTTCGGGGGCCGCGGAGCCCCCACCCGGGGAGATGGACCTCAACCGGATCATCCAGGCGCTGAAGGGCACCATCGACCCGAAGCTTCGGATTGCAGCAGAGAACGAGCTCAACCAGGTGAGAGCGGGCCTTCGGCGCCCCGCTGCCGCCGGAGCGGAGCCCCCAGCCGGATTGCCAGCTCTCCCCGCTCGACGCCCTTCGTCTCTACCCCCACCCGGGCTCGGGACCCCGGCGCTCCCTCGGCCTGTCCCGCCCCGGGTCCAGTGGAGCAGCATGGCACTCCCCCGGGGTCTTTGCGGAACAACTCACGCACCTGTTGGTCACCTTTGCATCTTTTCGTGTCGCCTTCCTTCCCAGTGCAGTTTGTCAACCCCACTTGGTCCAAATAGAGAAGCTTTTGCAATCTTTGCCGGTGTCTTCAGGGTGGGAAGCTTTTCCGTAAGCGCTCTGAAATTGGGGACGCGGTTGGGGGAAATTCACTTCATATTCAAAGCCGAGTTAGCTTTTCTCCAGACCCAACCCTTTTTAGGTGTTGCTGTGGGAAACCCTGCCCATCGCCTGCTTCTGTGGGGTTGGCACGGACTCTTTTGTCAAAGAGTGGCAAGAGTTTTGTTGGAGCGCTGGGCATTGCTGTCGGGAGAGTGCTCTGAGAAGAAAGGGCAGTTTTCATGTGCTTTACCAAAGGCACATCCCCTAATCGCGTCTGGAGGGATTTCTTTAAAATGCTAAAATGTGTAAGAATTTCTTCTATTCGACTTCAGGTGTTCTTCCTAACCAACCTTGGCTTTGTTACAGTGTTATCCCCAATATTCCAAAAACTTAATGATCCCGGACTCTAACGTATTTCTTCCTTCATACCTGTAACACTGAACCATAGACCTGTTACTAAAAAGTACAAATGATACCTACTCCTAGGATGAGGTGACCATTGTTTGAAGTTCTAACAATCCTTAAAATATAAAGGAATATTCTCAAATTAATTACTCCCAAGGTATTTGCTCAGGACCAGCACATCAACATCCTCTGAGAATTTATTGAAAGTGCAAGTTATGGGGTTTCTTCCCAGACGTAAAGGGAAATTATGGGCGTGGGAACCAATTGTGTTTTAACTAACTCACCAGGTGATTCTTTTCCTTCTAAAATGTGATAAAGTCTGTCCTAAGTAAATGTTTCTGTTGGGGTTAATTTTAAAAAGCAGATGAGAGTTGTGAGTCTTTGAAAGGAATTATCTTAATGGGAAATCTGTGTGGAGTTCTGAGTAGACTGAAACCAGGATTCCCAAGCGATAAAAGGGATTGTGAAAATACTATGAAGATGAGAGATTGTATTAAAACCCAAAGGGGATGTGTCAGGACCATCACTCAGGATAAAGTTAAAGTCAGCACCTGCTTTGCAGAGTAGAAGGACTGCATGCTGATTAGCTGGAAGAATAGTAATCCAGGGGTTGGTTAGGAAGAACAAAACAAGAGCTGAACTTGCAATTTTCTAATATGAACAGGAGAGTTAGCTTGTTTGTGACCCCCCTTCTCCTCATCACAGACCATTTCCAGTGCAACTTCTTAAGGTACCTTATTTATGCTTGAGGCCCTTTGTTCATCCCTAGCACTGCAAAACCAAAACCAAATCACTACCACCAACAACAGAAAACTCTATAAATAAATAAATAAATGTATGTAGATTATTGCCATGCCACTCATTTAGCATTTGTTTTGTATGGTGTTTTGCATTGCAATATATCCACACTAAGTTTTTTGGAATTGCCTTTAAGTAGAAGGCCACCATATAATGTTACTTAACCTTATAGTAAAACACGGTTTAGCCAGACATGGTGACACACATGTGTAATCCCAGCTATTTGGGAGGCTGGAGGCAGAAGGATTGCATGTTTTAGGCCAGCCTGAGCAATTTAGTGAGACCTTGTCTTAAAATAACAAGGACTAGAGATGTAGTGCAGTGGTAGAGAATCCCTGGGTTCAATCCCCAGTATGGAAAACAAAAACACACATGGTTTATGGTGTTTGGGTTTTGTATGCTTGTCCATTACCACCACTGTAACTTCCTGCTTTGCTGGATAAACTGGTGGGTAATCTATCATAAGTATTTAGGTTCTCCTCTTAAAATTTTGTGTTTTTAAAATTTTTATTTTCATAGTACTGAGGATCCAACTCCGGGTTCCTGCACATGCTAGACAAATCCTCTACCATGGAGCTAGATTCTAGTTCCCAGCTCATTAATTTTAGTCTAGACTGCCCCACCTCAGCAAATATGCTTTGCTTAGGAAATGGGGGTAGCTTCTACAGTGTACTGATTTATCTGTCAATTGCTTTAAGAGTAAGTAGCTTCAGCATAACAACCTAAGGTCTAAGAGATAAATTCTTATTTGGAAGCTATGTTTTCTTAGGCCAGCATTTTTCTCTTAGCAGTGACTGGTTCTCTGTTGGTGATATTGTTTCTATGGAAAACGGATTTTTGAGTCTTTTTTATTAAAAATGAATGCTGTACACCTTCCTCACTGTCTCTCCACCAGAAGTCCCTTTAGCAGCAGCATAGAGGAGTATGGTTGGGTAGATGTCTTGCTTCTGTAACTCATCCAGAAAGATGTTGTTGTCCTTTTTTTTTTTTTTTAAATACCTTTGTTTTTATTTATTTTTATGTGGTGCTGAGGATCGAACCCAGGGCCTCACACGTGCTAGGTGAGTGCTCTACTGCTGAGCCACAACCCCAGCCTCAAGATGTCTTCTTTTGAGCTGGGGTTGTAGCTCAGCAGTAGAGTGCTTGCCTAGCACACATGAGACCCTGGGTTTGATTCTCAGCACCACATAAATAAATAAATAAAATAAAGGTATTGTGTCCATCTACAACTAAACATTTTTTAAAAAGTTGTCTTTTTAAAAAAATTATCCTCCACATGTTTTTCTTTTCTTTTCTTTCTTTTTTTTTAAGATAGAGAGGGAGGGAGGGAGAGAGAGAGAGAGAGAGAATTTTTTTAAATATTTATTTTTTAGTTTTTGGCGGACACAACATCTTTGTTTGTATGTGGTGCTGAGGATCGAACCCGGGCCGCACGCATGCCAGGTGAGCACGCTACCGCTTGAGCCACATCCCCAGCCCAACTCCACATGTTTTTCAGTAGGGAAATAAAGATAATTTAATTGCCAAATTTTGGAATCTCCATTTTCCATGGAACTGTGTGTGTGTGTGTGTGTGTGTGTAAGCGCGCGCGCATGCCTGCATATTAATGGGATCTACACCCAGTAGATCCCTAGTAACTAATCTACACCCAGTAGCTACACTCCTCGCCTATTTTTATTCCTCTTTTAGAGAGTTTGTTTATATGAATGACAGATATATTTACAGAATTATATTGTAGGCATTGGTATAAGATTCTTCTCCCATGGAGCTTACATGTTAGTGAGAGATACAGGCAAGCAAATATATAATTTCATGCTAATAAAGCCTGAGAAAGTGTGTTGGAATGTATGCATAGGGTAGTCATTCTCTGAGGAATGACATTGAATAGACATAGATGTTGTGAATGAGTGAGCTAAGAGAATTGGGAGAGGAGCAGAGGGAATAGCAAGTTCAGAAAAGGCCCTCAACCTGTCATTTTAGAGGACTTGAAAGGTAAATGTAGTCAGAGCAGTGAATCAGAGAATGGGAAAAATCAGGCTTTTGCTTTATAGGAGTTCTCATAAAATACGGAAGATAGCTAAGCAAGAAAACAGTGTTCAGTGAACTTCACAGATTCAAAGTAAACATCCTTAAGAAATTATGAGGAAATCAGTTATCCCATTTATTTATTTATTTAAATATTTATTTATTTTTTAGAAACTTGAAGCCCAAAGGAGGACAAAGAAATTGAGTAATATTTGTGAGGCAAATAGTGTGAGAATATACCAGAATTTACTGCTGAATGTTTTATCTGGCCAAATTAACATACATTGAAACAAAGCTAAAAGGAGAAGACAAAGTTTCTGAAGTTCTTTAAAATGTAAACAGTTGAAAAAAGAGAAGTTCCAACTGTGGCAACAATGCTGAAATTAATTTCAAATAAGTAGCATTATCTAAGTGTAAAGGTTATGTTGTTTTTATGTGTAGGAAGATTTTTTAAAAAAGTAACCAATTAGTTTTATGATTAAAGTAAATGAAATTTTTTTTTGGACTGGGGATTTAACCCAGGAGCATTTAACCACTGGGCCACATCCCAAGCCCTCTTTTTATTTTTCATTTTGAGACAGGGTCTTGTTAAGTTGCTTTAGGGCTTCACTCTCAAAACTTCTGATCCTCCTGCCGTTGCCTCCTGAGCTGCTGGGATTACAGAAGTGTGCCACTGTGCCAGCACAAATGAATTATTTTATAATGTGTATGTAGAGAGATATAGAAGATGGTGCTAAATCTATATTAATTTTGCCACTTGTAAACTATAGTTAAATATGTTTCTTTAAGAATTGAAATTTTGGGGCTGGTGTTGTTGCTCAGTGGTAGTGCACTTGCCTAGCAGGCGCGAGGCCCTGGGTTCGATCCTCAGCACCACATAAAAACAAATAAAGGTATTGTGTCCAACTACAACTAAAAAAAAAAAAAAAAAAAAAAAAAAAATTTTTGTAGTTTCAATTACGAAAATGAATTTCCCTTAAGTATGATAGATTTAAGATTTTTTTTTTTTTAAATATTTATTTTTTAGTTCTCGGCGGACACAACATCTTTGTTGGTATGTGGTACTGAGGATCGAACCCGGGCCGCACGCATGCCAGGCGAGCGCGCTACTGCTTGAGCCATATCCCCAGCCCCTTAAGATTTTTTAAAAAAAATTTTTAGTTATAGATTGACAATACCTTTATTTATTTATAAATCTTTCGAACCCAGTGCCTCTCACATTCTAGGCGAGCACTCTACCACTGAGCCACAACCCCAGCCCCACATTTAAGATTTTAAAGACTATACAGGATGAAAGGAAGAATAATTATAAGATAATACAAAATTTTACTGAAGTATTTGGGAAAGCACAAAAATGTACTTGAATGGAAAAGATGTTGTTTTTCTCCAAACTTATTTTTAATCATATTTACCTTAAATGCTACTTTATAAATAAAATAATAGAAAAGGTGATTAAATAAATGAGTGTATGCACAAACCCAGCTGTATCTTCAAAGGGATGATACCAGAGATTCAAGCTCCCAGGAAAACGTAAGCTAGACAGACTCTTTGGGGCATTGTCTGGTTTGGCTTCAGTGAGAATTTACAATTCTTTTCTGGGATTTTCAGTGGGCAAATCCATTTATGGGCTCTGGGAATGTACAGGGTTGTGAAGGTCCAGATACTAAACATCTATGCAGAGCATGGCCAAAAGGAACCGGCTGCTCTGTTTCGTTTCTTTTTGCTTCTAAGGTTACCAATGGCCAAACTCAGGAGCAGGTTACTGGTGTAGAGCATGTCTGGGGTGTGAAGTGACTCAAGCAGCAGGGCAGAGAAGAAACTCCATCAGCACAGGCTCCCTTAGGCATTGTTAAGTTTAAAAGATGCTATAGCCTCAGAGGACAGCTGGCAATGACAGCTCTCAACCCTGTCTTGTGAGTCACACTGTTCAATTTGGACTGGCTCTTCTCCATAGCTTAGGCATTATTTAACATTGTCTGGTTCATGGTACTGGATATCCAGTTTTCTATAGCTGATGTTTTCTTGATTTGCGTTTGTCAAAAAATAACAAACAAATTAACATATAAATAATCTGAGAATAAACACTTGTGATGAGTTATTCAGAGACTTCAAATCCATAAATAGCTTTTAGACTTTATTGAGAAAAAGTGAAAATTTCACCTACAAAAAGATAAATGGAGTAAGGAATTTGTAGAAGCAATTAGTTCCCAAACAAAACAATAGCAACCACAAAAAGTCTCCTTAGTAATAGAGGAAATATAACTTAAAGTATTAAAAAGTTTTAAAGTTTCAAAGAAATGGTTAATACTGTACCTACACTGCTTACATGGACACTTGTATATGTGGGCTTTTGCATATTTTTTGTGGAAAGCATTTTGGCAGCATATGTCAAAAATCATAAGTGCCTCCTGGCAGGGTGGTGCACATCTGTAATCCCAGTGGCTCTGGAGGCTGAGGCAGGAGGATCTTGAGTTCAAAGCCAGCCTCAGCAAAGATGAGGTTCTAAGCAACTCCATAAGACCTTGTCTCTAAATAAAATACAAAATAGGACTGGGGATGTGGCTCAGTGGCCGAGTGCCCCTAAATTCAGTACCTAGTTAAAAAAAAAATCATAAGTGTTCACACTTTTATTTATGAGCTTATTCTAAGAAATTGTCTTTTGACTTGAAGTATCTTAATAATCTTCATTTTGCCATGGAGAATTTGTTTTATATTAGCAGTTTTTCTTTTATCTGGATGATAAGGTATTCATTAACAGGTGCTAATAGATATTTATTGACATTTCCCTCTTTTTATAAAACTATTCTTTGTCATTTCAGTCTTACAAGATTATCAATTTTGCCCCCAGTTTACTTCGGATTATAGTCTCTGACCATGTGGAATTTCCAGTACGCCAGGCAGGTGAGTTTTTTTTTTTTTTTTAATACTTTAAAAATTGATTTATAGGTGAAAATAGAATGAGAATTTTATTTTAATTCTAAATATAATTTCTTGAAAAAGTAGGAAGCACATCTACGTATTTCTAAGGCATAAAAATTTACCTTTTTTTCCCCCTGAAAACTTAAAGGTAAATACTAAACTCTCAAATAGCTCCCCCCGCCCCCCATGCTCTACCCATCAGTTCCTTGCCTTTGTTACAATATCAGTTTCCCACTTAGTTTTCCCAGTTTTAATTGCTTATCTCCCTAATTTCTTATGATTCCTGATAGCTTCACCTTTGGACCCACAGATTAAGACCATGAGTTTATGTATCTGAATTCAAGCTCTAATTATGTGTCAAATGATGTTGGTAATTGTCACACAGATGTTCCTAACCAGATGTTTGGAGAGCTGGACTTTTTTGTTTTAAACACAAATTTATTCTTAAGTCTGGGATTTTATGTAATTGCTTAATGCACTTTTTTTTTTTTTTTTAAAGTGGGCTTATCATTAGAGCTCAAAGGTTAAATATTGAGAAAGCCTTGGAATATCACAAGTCCTTGGAATATCCGGAAAAGATAATAATTACAAACTAACGGGTAAAATGACAATAGCTAATTTAAAAAATAAGTGTATTTAAAAGCCTTATGTTAGTGATATATTTAGATGTCCCTCCACTAATGATGGATTCCCTTCTGATAAACCCATTATAAGTTGAAAACATTGTTAGTTGAAAAATAATAAGTCAAAATTGCATTTGATTCAGGACATGGTGGTACATGCCTGAAGTCCCAGTGACTCGGGAGGATGAGGCAGGAGGATCACAGGTTTGAGGCCAGTCTCAGCAATTTAGTGAGGCCCTAAGTAATTTAGTGAGACCATGTCTCAAAATAGAAAATGAAGGTGTCTGGGGATGTGGCTCAGTGGTTGAGCGCCCCTGGGTTCAATCCCTGGTACCAAAAAACAAACAAACAAACAAATAAATTGCATTTGATGCACCTAATCTACTGAACACCATAGCTTAACAACACAGTATACTCTTGAGTTTCTGTTGTTTACCCTCATGATCTCTTGACTGTGGTTGCTTAGCATCATGAGAAAATATCTTGCAACATATTGCTAGCCCCAGAAAATATCAAAATTCAAAATTTCAAGTATGGGTTCTATTGAATGCATACTTCTTTTGCATCATTCTAAAGTTAAATAAGCATGCATTGAACCACGATAAGTCATCTCTATTCATTATAAGTGATCTGAGCAATGAAGAAGAATACAAAGAAGAAAGTAAAATTATCCAATATTCATCATTCAGAAATGACCCTCATTGACATTAGGTGAACATTAGTGTTGCATGTGTTCAGGTACAAGGGTTGAAGAATAGTTTCATAGAAATTGAATTATAATCTACATGCTGATCAAAGTATTTAATTTCACTTGGACAAAAAATAAAGAAGGAATAATTAAATTCTGGGACTATGTTTATGAAAATATAGTTATGTGTTGCCTGATGATGGGGACATGTTTTGAGAAATGTGTAGGCAGGCAATTTATTTATCACTGTTCAAATATCATAGCATCTACCTAAACAAACCTGGACAGGATGGCTTCCTACACATCTAGGCTTTGTGGTATTTATCTTTGGAAAAGTGGTTGATTGTCGTAATGACTGAAATGTCATTATGTGGAACATAACTCTATATGATTTCCTACAAGATTGCTTTGTGGTTTAGATAAAAAAGAAAAACCTATGGAAAACATTCATGTTGGAATTATTTATTTTAATAAGGTTTATAAGAATTCTGTAAATGCTTTTTGCAATTTTAGATCTCATTTGTTTAATCTTTGACTTTATAAAGTGGGGCTGTTCTAGGGCTGGGGATGTGGCTCAAGCGGTAGTGCCTTGCCTGCCATGCGTGCGGCCCGGATTCGATCCTCAGCACCACATACAAACAAAGATGTGTCCGCCGAAAACTAAAAAAAATAAATATTAAAATTCTCAAAAAAAAAAAAAAAATTAAAGTGGGGCTGTTCTGAAACAACATTTTACTAAATGAAACCTATTTTAAAAATCCAGGTATTTGTAGGGACATTGTGATGTTCTTATGAAGCTTTTTAAAAATATTTTAAAATATATTGTTTTAGAAGATCTTAAAACAATTTATTACATTAATGTGTTGTTTATATAACATACAAACAAAACACAGAACTTTTACATTAGATTACACTTAACACCACTCTCAAAGATAGCTGCCATCAAATTTGGGGCAATGCTTTAGTTTTTTCCATTTACATTACACATGCTATTTTCAAGTTTCCTTTCTTTCATTAAACCATGTACCTTGGAGATTATTCCATGTTTGTGTACACACGCATTCTTCATTCTTATAGTGACTCAGTAGTATTTCATTGTGTAGAACTGTCATGGTTTATTTAAACAATTTGATATTGACAGACATTTCCCTCATTGTCCTTTTTTGTTGTTAATAGAAGCAGTGCTTAATGAGCATCTTTGAAAATGTACCTCTAGGTATTTGGGAATTTTTATTTTTTAGAATGAATTATTAGGAATGAAATGCTAGGTTAATAGATGTTAAAGATATTAACATTTATAATTTTGAATCCGATCACAAAATTACTTTTGCTTTTTCTTTCTTTTTTAAAATATTTATTTTTTAGTTGGATACTTATTTTGTTTATTTTTATGTGGTGCTGAGGATCGAACCCAGGGCCTCGAACATGGTAGCCAAGCACTCTACCATTGAGCCACAACCCCAGCCCTTGCTTAATTTTGTACCTAAGAGGGTTGGGTGTGTAGCTCAATGGCAGAGCCCTGGCAGGAGGCCCTGGATTTGATCCCCAGCACTGTGGAGGAAAAAATGTGCCTTAGAATGCTAGGTTCCCCATATCCTCACTAACTGTGTGCAACCTTTTTTTTTTTTTTTGTGGTGCTGGGGATTGAACCCAGGGCCTTGTGCATGCAAGGCAAGCACTCCACCAAGTGAGCTATATCCCCAGCCCTGTGTACAACTTTTTAAAAAAATTTATTTTTGTGGTGCTTGGAATACAACCCAGGGCCTCCTGTATATTAGGCAAGTGCTCTACCATTGAGCCATATCTCTAGCTCTACAACTTTGAATCTTAATAACTTAGGTAATGAAGTTTTCATATAAAATATAATCTGTGTGTAAAGGTGCTGTTTTCTTTATAATGTATGTGAATTTTAAATCTTTTAGGTGCAGGACAGTTTGGTTTGGTGATTGATTATTTCCTAATGTATTGGAACAAACTTTCAATCTTAAAGCATCCATTTTTGCCATTGAGTTTGAAATATATTGTATAACATTTTACAGCTATCCTAAAGAATAGTTTATAAATGTTCTTTTCTATTTAGTCTTTTATTAAAATACAAGGATGCTTTATCACTTTAAGGTGACATCTAGTTAGCCTGTCATTCATCATGATATTAAAAATAGAATGATGTGGTCTTTGTTTTAAAGAAAGATCAGCCTATATAAACTGTTAAAATAAACAAACAAAAAGCAAACAACAGACCAACCAAAAAAAGAAAAATTAAGTGGAAAGATATAGCTCTACATAGCCCTGTTTTTGTAGGAAAACAAATTTATTTCCTTATGAATTGGATTAAGATGTTAGTGTTTTGTTTCTTAGTGCTGGAAAATTTTTTAAAAAATATTTATTCTTAAGTTTTAGGTGGATACAACATCTTTATTTTACATTTATGTGGTGCTGAGGATCAAACCCAGTGCCTTGTGCATGCTAGGCGAGCACTTTACCACTGAGCCACAACCCCTGGCCCCTGGGAAATTTTTTTTTTTTTTTTTAAATTTTCATCTTTTTGGCAGACAATTCTAAAATATTCTTTCTATTATTAAGTAAACTTAGTAGTAAATGTTTGCTTTTAGCTTACTGTGAATTTTCAAGAAATAGGAAAAAAATTAATATTTTAATATTGCCATGTCAAAATAAATTTGGAGGTTTGCTCTATTGCTTTCCTTTCAAAGTATTGATAAGCATAATAATAATATAACCAGATAGTATGCAGAGAAGGAAACTTTTTTTTTTTTTTTTGGTACTGGAGCATTCGACCCCTGAGCCACTTCCCTATCCCTTTTTTTTGTATTTAGAGACAGGGTCTCACTGAGTTGCTGAGGCTGGCTTTCATCTCTCAATCCTCCTGCCTCAGCCTCTCAAGCTGCTGGGATCACAGGAGTGTGCCACCTCGCCTGGGAGGAAGCCTATTTTAAATATAGGATATTGAAGTTGTAGTTTGGAATCTTTCAAGTCACTTTTGTTTTTAAGTGTTCAACTCCTTGTCTCTGAAGAGAAAGAGACCCTTTATTAAAGTTCCTCTAGTAAGTGTAAACTTGGCTTCAGAATGTACTTTTCTTTAATGCATTTTGCAGTTGCTGTGAGAAGAGTAGTTTGTATTTAAAAGTGGAGGTTGAGAGGAATATTATATTGGACCTGAAGAAGTCATCTGCAGTGAATGATGTAGGACCAATCAATTGGAAAAAACAGAAAAAGCTTTTCAGGACCCCCCTCCCCTACCTGCCTGGTTTTCATTCTTCTAGGTTGTTTTCCTTTTTGTATGTCAAAGGGATGGGGTGATGATATTACAATTTATAGTTTTTTATGTATAATTTGTTAAGACTACAGCATTCTAAAATGCAGAAGCTAGTGATAAACAGAAAGATAATGTTTATCATTTCAGAAACATTTCAAAAAGCTCTTTTCTTAAAACTGTTTTATTTGTGGGATGCTTCTCTGCTCTTACTAAAAATCTCTTTAATTTTATTTATAGCTTATACATTTATTATCAGATCTAGCCTTTAACAGATTGAAGTAATAGCAATGGAGAGAAGGGCTACCAAATTATGATGAAGAATGCAAAGACTTAGAAAGATCACCTAAAAAGCATGGCATTCTGCCTCACCGAGTTTATAACAGCACTATCTTGATCCTTTGAGGTTGTGGAGCCCAATTTATTTCTGTAGTTGTGTTTCTGAGTAGAGAGTGAAGTTTAAGTGATGATACATTGTGCTTGCGAAGGAGAGAGGCAGGCAACTGAAAGCCACAATTAGATATTATTTCACCCCAGTTAGAATGGTCATCATCAAAAAGACAAAAAACGGGCTGGGGACATAGTTCAGTGGGAGAGCCCTTACCTAACCTGTGTGAGGCCTTGTGGGATTGATCTCCAGTATTGCAAACAAAGAATAACTAAAAAAGCAAATGCTTCCTTTTCTCTAAAAGGGAGTTCTTACACACTTTTGGTGGGAATGTAAATTTAGTAAAATCACTATGGAAAACAGTATGGAAATTCCTCAAAAAACTAAAAATAGAACTACCATATGATCCAGCTCTGTGCTTCTGGGTATATGTCCAAAGGTGATAAAATTATTATTCCAAAAACATTTGTATTCTCCTGTTTATTTCAGTACTTTTCATAACGGCTAAAATATGAAATCAACTTAGATGCCCTTCAGTGGATGAGTGGATAAAGATCCCCCCCAAATGAAATATTATTCTTCCCTAAAAAGAATGAAATTCTGTCATTTGTAGCAACATGAACAGAACTGGGGGTCATTATGCTAAGTGAAATTAGGCAAACACAGAAGGTCACATACCATATGTTCTCACTCATTTGTGGTAGCTAATAAGTGAGTTTTGTAGAAGAAGAGAATGGAATAGTGGTCATTAGACTTTTGAAAAGTTAGGGTGAAGGGGGGTTAGAAAGAATTTCATTAAGGGGCACCAAAACAGAGTAGAGGAATTACTTCTGGTTCTTCTTTAGCACAATAAGGTAATGATAGATCAAAACAATCTATGACATATTTCAAAATGATTAGAATAGAACAAAATTCCCAGCACGTAAAAGTGAATGTTTGAAGAGATGGAAATACTTATTAAAACATTATGATTAAGGGGCTGGGATTGTGGCTCAGCGGTAGAGCGCTCGCCTATCATGGGCGGGACCTGGGTTCGATCCTCAGCACCACATAAAAATAAAGGCATTGTGTTGTGTCCATTAAAAAAATTATGATTAAAACATTACTTCAGTGTTTATAGCAGCAAAATTCAAAATAGTAAACTATGGAATCAACCCAGGTGCCTATAAATAAATGGGTTAATATAGATATATAGATAGATAATAGACATAGATTGATAGATCTATGTCTATTATCTATCTAATCTATATATCTATATCTATATACCTATAGATATAGATAGATAGGTATATAGATAGATAGAGTTCTTCTCAGCAACAACACAGAATGAAATTATGGCATTTTGCTGGTAAATGGTTGGAACTGGAGACTCTAAAGCTAAGTGAAATAAACCAATCCCAAAAAAACAAAGGCCAGATGTTCTCTTTGATATGTGGATGCAGACTCACAATGGGGTTGAAGGGAGTGAAGGTTCACTAGATTGGAATGGTGACAAAGGAAGGGGGATGGGAATGGGAAAGAATATCTGTATTCATATATGAATATATGACCAGTGTAGTCTATATCATGTAAACCACAACAATAGGAAGTTATACTCCAGTATCTATGATAAGTCAAATGCATTCTACGGTGTCATGAATAACTAAAAAGAACAAATAAAGACATCTCTTATAAAAAAAAAAAGAGTGGGAACAAAATAATTGATTGTATTTATTTTGATAGAAATAAATAGAAAAGAAATAAACAGAAGAAAAATTTCCTGAGATTTTCCAAAAATATTTGAAGGATAGAAATGATGCCAAATTTCCCTATTAGTTATAAGTAATAAATATCTCAAAAGGGTTAAATAAAAATTACCAGTGCTTTAAAAAGCATAAATATTCTAAGATGGTAGTACCAGATAGTAGCCAGTGAAAGAAAATAAACGGAAATACCAGTCTGTGTAAAGGAAAGCAGAGCTTTACCTGTTGTCAGTTCAGTATTAGGCATTATGAAAAGTGTAATTTTGTGATATTAGTGTGTATTTTGTATGGTCTCATTTAGACCACTTGTGTTTTGTCTAAGGATATATCTATATCTATATACATGATTCCTAGATCATTTTTTTTTTTTTTCTGGCTTTTAAGCTCTGGAGTTTGATTTGGCAAAATATTTTCTGCTTTGACTACCTAAAGTGAAACCTTTAAATTCTTACCTATTTCCCCTTCCTAACTTGGCTTTATTCCTGTAAGATTTGCCTTTTCTGCAGGGTGTCATGTTTGGCACTGAAGGGCTTAGCCTTTCCTGCCCTATCCAGCTGAATTAAAACATTTCTTTTGATACTAACACATTAACATTCTTTTCCCAAACACAGCTGCCATCTACCTAAAGAACATGGTGACCCAGTATTGGCCAGATCGAGAACCTCCACCAGGAGAAGCAATATTTCCCTTCAATATTCATGAAAATGACCGCCAACAAATACGTGATAACATTGTGGAAGGGATAATTCGATCACCAGATTTAGTGAGGTATGTTGTGTTTTATCTGTGTAAGTACTAGGGAACATGAAATATTTGGATCTGGGGATGAGAGCGGTGAGTTTGTTTTTTTCTTAAAAAAGGTAAATAAGAAAGATGGACACTCAAGGAGTATTATCTAACTTATGTCTTTGCCTTTATAATTCTTTGCCTCAAAATATTTTGGAAAAGATTTAGTTGTCATAAGTTGCCCCCCAAAAAAGTAAGGTAAAAATCAAACTTAACTAAAATGATCGTGTAAATTCTTGTGAAGTAAATAACCTATGTTGTTAGTAATAATCTCTTCTTTCTTTTATATTTGCTTTCCTTTTCTTTGATATAAGGGATTGATTCTGGGAATTTTCTTTTTTTCTCTTTTTCCTTTTCTTTTTGGTACTTGGGATTGAAGCCAGGAGTGCTGAACTACATCCCCAGCTTTTTAAAATATTTTATTTAGAGACAAGGTCTCACTAAATTGCTTAGTGCCTTGCTAAGTTGCTGAGGCTATCTTTGAATTTGTGATCTTCCTGCCTCAGCCTACCAAGCCGCTGGGGTTACACTGTGCCCAGCCAATTCTGGGAATTTTAATCTACTGTTATTTTAATTCTTTACCTATGTTTTTATTCATGTTTTAAATGAACTAAATGTCTTTTCCTGCAGCAAAGAAAGAATAGTCAATATAAACTACAAAAGTTAATGCCAGTTTTTTAGATTCATAGATTAGATTAGATGCTGTAGAGAGCACTGCCCAATAGAACTTTCTGCAGTAATAGAAGTGTTCTTTGTCCAAACTGTCCAGTATTTAGCCATGTGACTTGCCTTTTGAGCACTTGAAAATGTGGCTAGTATAACTGAGGAACTGCATTTTAAATTTCATTTAATTTTGATGTATTTAAAGTGTGTATATGTAGTTAGTGACTGTTCTGTTAAGCAACAAAGCCAATGAGTCATACAGTTTTTGCAGTCTTAGGTTGAGATTTTTTTCTTTTTTCTTACAGTGCTAGAGATTGAACCCAGAGCCTTGTGCATGCTAACTCTACCACTGAGTTACACTCCCAGCCCCAAGTTTTGCAGTCTTAACCCATTAAGTCCCAAGTTTCCAATTCTGCAAATATAGTAAATATTCAAATATCATTTACCATAGTGTTATATTTGTTGCTCAATTTATTAGTTTTTATAGTTTCACATTTGGAATAATGGAACAAAAATGGATTAAAGTAGTAGAAACAGATTTACTCCAACATATGAGCTAGTTATTTTCTTTTAAAAATGGTGGACAAGGGGCTGAGATTGTAGCTCAATGGTAAAGTGCTTGCCTCGCACGTGTGAGGCACTGGGTTCAATCCTCAGTGCCACATAAAAATACATAAAGATACTGTGTGTTCATCTACATGTAAATAAATATTAAAAAAAAAAAAAATGTTGGGCAAGCCAGACGTAGTGGTGCATGCCTGTTATCCAAGCTGTTGGGGAGCCTGAGGCAAGAGGATTGTAAGTTTGAGGCCAACCTTGGCCACTTAGAAATTCTATCTCAAAGTGAAAAATAAGGGGTGCAGGTGTAGCTCAGTGGTGAAAGGTCTCTGGGTTCAGTCTCCAGTATAAAAGAGAAAAAAAAAAAAAAAGAAAAAAAGGAAGCAAACAGATTAAACAGTGGTAAGGGAATGAAATTGTTTAACTTTAGCCCTGAGCGTCTAACAGAAATTATGATATAGGCAATGGGAAAGGAGGTAAATAAGAGAGTTAACAGTAACAGGAAGAACAAACATTGAACCATTTGTGCAGTTATTTTGTTAAGAGGAGAAAATAGATGTGCTAATTGATGAAAATCATCATGATTCTCATTGGTTGCCAGTCATGGCCCTGATAACCCTGCAATATCATCACGTATCCATTTTTTTGTCAAAATGCTTACATTATCTGATCTACCTGAATCTTCTAATGGTTTTACATAGTAACATGAAGGATGGCCTTTCATAGTCATTCTTTGGCTTGGAATGAGAAAGAACTGAGAGGTCAACCAAAGATGATTTTTTTTTTTCTTGTTTTGTGGTGTTGCTGGTTGAATCCAGGGCCCTTGCGTGCTAGGCAAGCTCTCTCACTGAGCTACAACCCCAGCTCTGAAGATGAAATTTTTTGGAGGTGGGGGTGTACCAGGGATTGAACTCAGGGGCACTCAACCACTGAGCCCCATCCCCAGCCCTATTTTGTATTTTATGAGACAGGGTCCCATTGACTTGCTTAGTGCCTTGGCTGGCTTTGAACTCACTATGCTCCTGCCTCAGCCTCCCCAGATGCTGGGATTACAGGCATGCACCGTTGTGCCTGGCTCCTTGAAGATGAGATTTTTAAGAAATTAAAAGTGTCAGTTTTATTACATACAAATATGACCTATTTGTAAGGACTGTTGCTAGTGACATGAGAAGGCCTCCTGTTATGAAAGTTCTTTGTGGCTTTGCTCCTTCTGTCTTTAAGGCTTAATTGTAATCACCCTGAAGACATATTTTCTTCCAGTTCTCCAGTTTTATTTAAAAGTATTGCAAAGAAAATTTCAAATAGATTTGGTAGCACAAGAAAAAGCCTTTTTTTTTTTTTTTTTTTTAAATTTACTGGTTTCTGGGAATCCAAGTTAGCAGCTATTGAACTGAACATTTTTTCTTTTGTATCATAGACTCCTAATCTGCCAGACCAATTTTTTAACCATTTGCAAATTGTATGTAAGAACAAATTTAGTGATAATGTTTTTGTTTTTTTTTAAGAGAGTTTTTTTTTTCTGTTTTTTTTAATTGGTTGTTCAAAACATTACAAAGCTCTTGACATATTTCATACATTTGATTCAAGTGGGTTTTGAACTCCCAATTTTACCCCAAATACAGATTGCAGAATCACGTCGGTTACACATCCACATTTTTACATAATGCCCTATTAGTAACTGTTGTATTCTGCTACCTTTCCTATCCTCTACTATCTCCCCTCCCCTCCCCTCCCATCTTCTCTCTCTACCCCATCTACTGTAATTCATTTCTCTCCTTGTTTATTTTCCCATTCCCCTCACAACCTCTTATATGTAATTTTGTATAACCATGCGGGTCTCCCTCTATTACCATGCAATTTCCCTCTTCTCTCCCTTTCCCTCCCACCTCATGTATCTGTTTAATGTTAATCTTTTCTTCCGGCTCTTCCTCCCTGCTTTGTTCTTAGTTGCTCTCATTATATCAAAGAAGACATTTGGTATTTGTTTTTTAGGGATTGGCTAGCTTCACTAAGCATAATCTGCTCTAGTGCCATCCATTTCCCTGCAAATTCTATTATTTTGTCATTTTTTAGTGCTGTATAATACTCCATTGTGTATAAATGCCACATTTTTTTATCCATTCATCTATTGAAGGGCATCTGGGTTGGTTCCACAGTCTAGCAATTGTGAATTGTGCTGCTATGAACATTGATGTAGCAGTATCCCTGTAGTACGTTCTTTTAAGGTCTTCAGGGAGTAGTCCGAGAAGGGCAATAGCTGGGTCAAATGGTGGTTCCATTCCCAGCTTTCCCAGGAATCTCCATACTGCTTTCCAAATTGGCCGCACCAGTTTGCAGTCCCACCAGCAATGTACAAGAGTACCCTTTTCCCCACATCTTCTCCAGCACTTGTTGTTTGACTTCATAATGGCTGCCAATCTTACTGGAGTGAGATGGTATCTTAGGGTGGTTTTGATTTGCATTTCTCTGACTGCTAGTGATGGTGAGCATTTTTTCATGTACTTGTTGATTGATTGTATGTCCTCCTCTGAGAAGTGTCTGTTTAGGTCTTTGGCCCATTTGTTGATTGGGTTATTTGTTTTCTTATTGTTTAATTTTTTGAGTTCTTTGTATACTCTGGATATTAGGGCTCTATTTGAAGTGTGAGGAGTAAAAATTTGTTCCCATGATGTAGGCTCTCTATTTACCTCTCTTATTGTTTCTCTTGCTGAGAAAAAACTTTTCAGTTTAAGTAAGTCCCATTTGTTGATTCTTGTTATTAACTTTTGTGCTATGGGTGTCCTATTAAGGAATTTGGAGCCCGACCCCACAATATGTAGATCGGAGCCAACTTTTTCTTCTATCAGACGCAGAGTCTCTGATTTGATATCTAGGTCCTTGATCCACTTTGAGTTAACTTTTGTGCATGGCGAGAGGAGGGGATTCAGTTTCATTTTGTTGCATATGGATTTCCAGTTTTCCCAACACCATTTGTTGAAGATGCTATCCTTCCTCCATTGCATGCTTTTAGCTCCTTTATAAAATATAAGATATTTGTAGCTTTGTGGATTAGTCTCTGTGTCCTCTATTCTGTACCATTGGTCCACCCGCCTGTTTTGGTACCAGTACCATGCTGTTTTTGTTACTATTGCTCTGTAATATAGTTTTAAATCCGGTATTGCTATACCACCTGATTCATTTTTTTTTTAAAATATTTATTTTTTAGTTTTCGGCGGACACAACAACATCTTTGTTTGTATGTGGTACTGAGGATTGAACCCGGGCCGCATGCATGCCAGGCGAGCGCGCTACAGCTTGAGCCACATCCCCGGCCCCTAGTGATAATGTTGATAGTTTCTAGAAGCCACATTTTTTCCCTTATTTTAAATCTCTATTATGATTGAGAGCCTATTGAGGAAGTGATCACTGAACTAATTGTTGAGACAACATCTTTTATCACTTTATGGTTTCATCAAAGGGATAGTCTCTTTTTCTGTTTTGTATCTTTTCTGTTGCTTTCTAAATTTATTTATTTGGAGACGGCTCTTAGCTTTCCTCTTCAGAAATTGCCTGGCTAATGCATGTTTTTTTCTTATACTCAGAGTACAAGATTAGTATCTCAGCTGCTTTGACGAGTGCAGTACTCACTGCTGGTTGTGAACTGATGAGGGATGAGTGTTCAATGTTTTGGTTCATTGAGATGCTTCCCATAGTTTTGTAAACCTCCATTTAACTTACTTTTACCATCTGCAAACTAGGTCTATCTAGTTGAAATGATGAACTATTTTCTCTCCTCATTCCTTTTAGGATTTGGTAACCAAAATATAAAATACAGCATGCTGAGAAATCTTACAAAGCTGAGGTAGATTCATTGTTTTGAAATTTTTATGAGTTCTTTTTTTTTGGTACTGGGATTTAACCCAGGGATACTTTACTATTGAGCTACATACCCAGCCCTTTTTTATTTTTTATTTTGAGGCAGGGTCTCACTAAATTGCTGAGGCTGATCTCCAACTTGTAATTCCCCTACCTTAGTCTCCTGAGTTGCTGGGATTACAGGCATGTACTACTGTGCTTGGCCTTACAAATTTATTTTTAAGTTCATATTTTAAAAAGCTGTCTTTAAAATAAGACACTTTGAAAGGCTTCATTCATTTTCATTCTGTTTATTTTCAGTAAATTGAGCTACTGAGGAATTTTTTTTTTAAAAACAAACCTATTTTGTTGATTCTCTGCCAGCACATAGAGTATCTTTTATTTATTTATTTATTTTGTTTTAGGTGGACACAGTATCTTTATTTTACATTTATGTGGTGCTGAGGATTGAACCCAGTGCCTTGTGCATGCTAGGCGAGCACTCTACCAATGAGCCACAACCCCAGCCCCAGGAATTTTTTTTTTTTTTTTTAGGACTACTGTTTTCCTTCCTACTCCACATATAATGCAGCCTCATGCCACATTACACCATTTTGATCAACCATATATATGATGATAGGTCCCATAAAATTACATTATTTAGTTATATAGCCGTCTTAAGTTTATAAAAAGTCCACTCTGTGTTGTTCCCAAAGCTGTGAATTTGATAATTTATGCATTTTTCATAACATTACCCATGGTGGTAAGTTATGTGTGACTGTGACTACATAATGGGCAAATAGGAGCTGGAGAACTTTTATGTAAAATATTAACGGTCCTTGATACATTATACTTCTAACTACTTGTATTTTTTACCTTTTTCCCTCTTACCTTACAGAATTCAGTTAACAATGTGTCTCCGTGTCATCATTAAGCATGATTTTCCTGGTCACTGGCCAGCAGTAGTAGACAAGATAAACTTTTACTTACAATCGCAGAACAGTGGAAGCTGGCTTGGCAGTTTGTTATGTCTTTACCAACTGGTGAAGACTTATGAGTAAGTTGATTTCTCTTGGCTGAAGAGAACAGTCTTGTGTCACTTGGGATTGATTTGCGTAGAGTGGTCTGCTGTGGGTGTTCTGTAAAACCAGGTTAATTTGGAAAATGTTGGGTTAAATATAGTTAAGCATGTTAATTTACTGCAGTTATTCAAAGCCACTTTAGTCTTTAATGTATATTGCTAATTTCTAATGCAGATATAATATGCAGTGCTTCTCAAACATTTATTAACAGTTTTACTTGGAGACTCTAAATTTTTTTCCTTAACATTTGTCTTCTCAGGAGCATATTATGAAATAAGTCAAATCAGATACCTTTCTGGATGTAAGAATGAAAATGTTAAAGTTTCTTTGGGGATATTCTTCTCCCATAAAAGTTGTTTGAGAGGTAGAGGACTAGGATCACATTTAATAGTATTTTCTGATTTAAAAGAGGATTTCTGCTTTTGCATTCAAAATCTTATTATTTCCCTTCTTTTAAAATATTTAATGTGCCTCAACACACAACTAAATGAGTCAGGGTCACTCCAGGTAAATTGGTTTGGCACTGAATAATCCCACAGACACAGAAAGTATGTTTTTCTGATTGCTCCTTGGCCCCAGCTCCCACAAAGGAAGCAATAGAGGCAGACAAAAGAAAGAGAATACTCCTGAGACCATCCTGTTTATTGAGGGGAAGACAGTCAAGAAAGTTCAACCCAAATAAGGTATGGGATTGGGTTTCAGGAGGTTGCTTGGTGATGTCTTATGGTCATCAGATTGACATCTTGGAAGGCCACACACATATCAGGTGCTGTGTGGGATCAAAGGAGGAGCGAGTGAAAAGGACACACAACCCATTCAGAACAGCAGCATCAGTCCAGTCCCCTCCAGTGCTCAAATGCTCATAGCTCACACACACAGCCCATGGCTGACTCATGAAATTAGTTCAGACTCTTATTTGTACAATTTTTATAGAATATTTTAGATTTTTAGCAATTAAAGTGATCTAAGAGCAGCTAAATTTGTAAGTTATTTTTACTTCTCAATTTAGGATAATAAGAAAAAATTTCCCCATATTATGAGTGCCTATATAAACTAGCTTTTCAACTTCTATTTTATAGAATTGTGATTTAATAAAAATGACTGTAGATACTAGAAAAATTTAAGAATTAGTATTAGTCTTGGATGCTTTTATTAAAAATAAGCCTTAATTTTTTTTAGAAAGATTTTAGGTATTTTGCTTAGAACAGGGACATACTCCCAAAGTTTATTCCAACAATCCAAACAGAAAGTGTAAGCCAAAAAAAATTTTTGGGGAGGGGTTTGTTTTATGTTGTTAACAAATATTTTTCATTCATTGTTTATAGTTCTTTGGGGAAGAGGGTACATTATTTTTCATTCTTTTTGTCTTTGCTCATGTAGATATAAGAAAGCAGAAGAAAGAGAACCTCTTATAGCAGCAATGCAGATATTTCTGCCACGTATTCAGCAGCAAATCATGCAGCTCCTTCCTGATTCCTCCCATTATTCTGTATTACTACAGAAACAGATTCTCAAAATCTTTTATGCTCTTGTTCAGGTAAGTTTCTACTGCAGAAGCCAAAAATGAGGTCTTGTATTTCTTCCTCACGTGTGGAAAATGCTCAGAGTCAGTTATTATTAAAAATTATTATATATTTTCATATATATTTCTTTTAAAAAGAAATATGAGAAACAGGATCACAGAAGTTAACAGAGGTGAGATTCAGTGTCTGTGCTTCCATTCCAGTGTCTGAAGCTCCAGGTCAGTAAGAACCAACACATTACTTTCCCACAAACTTTTAGTAGACATTTCTCCCCAAAGCATAGTTATGATTATAAGAAAAGAGTAAGGAAAATAAGAATAGAGTCCTTCTTTTATTGGAAAATCATATTTATGATAATTTCTCTGTCTTCCACCAACCTAAAGCTAACCAAGATTCGGTGGCTCATTTTTCTTGATTCAAAATTTTCTTTTTTCATATCTGAAAGCTATAAGGGCTACTAATGTGGGAATGAAAAAAATTATAAGACAGACATGTAATGTATTTAAAATATAAAAGTATTTAACAATAAATCCTTGAAAGGCTTGGGTAAATGAGGTCTGGTTGGGGAAGAATCCTTGTTGTCACCCTAAATAATGTATTGATTAGTGAATTGAAGCTCTAATACATGTTTTTAGTTAAATTCCTCATGATACTAGGATAGTTTTGTTGAACTTGAGAGGCAGGACAGTTTATTCTTGGCACTGTTTCAGAACATTTCATTTCAATATAGATTTATAGTTATATTGAAGTCTCATCTTTAAAACTGTCTGTGTAGGGGGTATTACTGGCAATTGAACCCAGGACCTTGGGTATGCCAGGCAAGCACTCTACCACTTAGCTACACCCTCAGCCTTACATCTTTTAAACTTTTACTAAAGACAGTCTGAGCCAGACTTTTGTTTTTCAGGTCAGCCTTTTTGAGGGATTGAGAGAGGAAAGAAAAGGAGGCAAATCTGAGAAGAGATAAGAACTAGAAAATTAGAAAAGTATATTCCTCTACCTTTTTTTTTTTTTTTTTTTTTTTTTTAAATAGAATAGGGAAGGAAGATGCATGATGCCTCTACTTATCGAAGATCTGTTTTGAAATCTTTCTCAGGAGGATCACTTTACTTTGAGGCAAATTTTTTGTTCAGTGAGACGTTTTGCCATTAGATTTGATAATAACCCTTTTGTTTAGGACCAAACTTGACTTTCTTATTGGGAGAAACATAGCTAGGAATTGAGCAGTAAGATAAAGACTGACCAAATCATTTTTCCTAAGGCCTGTTGTTATTGATTTGCCAATGGGGCAAAATCTAAATTTTTTTCTCTCAACCTATACATGCTAAAAACCTAAAAAATAGGTAAATACCCTCAACACTTTTAACCATTTTGGTAATCTGTTAATGTACTAATATAATATGTTCCTTTGAAAGCAAAAAATTTCAAAGCATTGAGGGACACAGTTGCAATAATAATGTAACTAAAAAGTGACTGACAATATGGAAAGAGGCAGAGGAATATTTTTTAAAAGTCTGTACAATGAGATTGATTTTGTCTGAGTAGCATTTATTTGTATGGGTACTTGGATATTTCATACATTCCAGAGAAATCACCATTCTTTGCTTAACTCTCAGCCTGGTCCTCCTCTGCACCCTAATTCAAGTCTGAATGCATCCTCAGGGCATTTTGAATAAAGTGTGTACTGAATGTAGCCTATAAAATTCTTCATCCCTCCACCTTTATCTTTACCACTTCTACGTGTGTGTGTGTGTGTGTGTGTGTGTTTTCTCCAATTAGACTGTAAGCTTGTGAGGGCAATGACTATCTTACTTACTATGTCCTTAGCACATTTTGGAATAAACATGGAGGCACTGTCCCTCCTCTCCTACAGCTCACAATGTAGCAGGAAGACAAGTGCCTGCTTCAAAGTGGACTGTGGTTATTATGTCACAGTGTAGATGAGAGTAACTAAAAAATAGTTTCATGAGTGTTCAGTAAGGTAAAGATTATCATTAAAATGGTTGAAATTAAAAGTTTGACACGCAAAGGGATAAACAGTAAAAATCACTTACCTGGAATATAAATTCTAGTTAAAAGTATAGGTCCATAGGTAAGCTTCTCACAGTTATGTAGGTCCTGTTTTATTTACTTTTACCATCTATAGACTACGTTTGTCCATTTGAAATGATATAGTGTTGCTGAATAAATAAGAGCTTAATTAAAATTTTTTTTCAAAATTATACATAATTTAAAAGTTTACTTTTTCTTTTTGCTGGTGCTGGGTGTTGAACCCAGGGCCTTGTGCATGCTAGTCAAGCACTCTACCAACTGAGCTATATCCCTAGCGTAGACATATACTTACACATCTAATTCAAGTTAATTTTAGGTTAAATCATATGAAATTGCTATTTTAATGCTTAAAAATTAGCTATTTTACATATTTTTAACCTTTTAGAATAGATAAAATTGCTGATTTTTATGGTAAATGGGAATTCTTCTTTATGTTGTTGTTCTGTTTTTCCAGTATGCATTGCCTCTTCAGTTGGTGAATAACCAAACCATGACAACATGGATGGAGATCTTCCGAACTATTATTGACAGGACAGTCCCTCCTGTAAGATAGGGGTGTTCTGAGAAAAAAATGGGCAGTCTTGGGTTTGGAGTACTTGTGTTGGGCTAATTCATTATCCTATCCTGCTATTTGAAAAAAGAAAATTGCTACTATAATAATATTAATTAATTAAATAATCATTTTTAGAAAGCTCAGAAGCAAAAATAATGAAATAGCTAATTCTACTAAATATGGTAAAAACCATTTTTAAAACTTGGTATTCCTCTAGCCTTTTTTCTCTGCATCTATATACAATAGTTTATGAATAAAAAATAGTACTTGTATATACTATTTTGAAGTTCATTTTGGCCTAAAATTTAATATATATATATATATATATATATATTTTTTTTTTTTTTGATTATGAATGTTTTATACTTCATTTTTGTCAGATGCTTTTAGTGTTTTAAATATGAGAACACAGTTAAATTTTTGTGCACGTGCACAATTATTTTCTCTAGAAAAATTTCTAAAAGTGTTTAGGCTTTTGACACATCTTACGAAATGATTTCCAGAAAGGGCACCCTGATTTATACTTTAATAAACAGTGGCTGAAGATGCCTATTATGAGTATACACTGAATTCTAAGTTTGCCTATTTCATATGTCTCTTCTTTTGATTTGCAGTGAGAGTATTTCTGCATCTGTCAAATTAACCCCTCACTCCCCAATGTATTTTTTCTTTTGCTGTTCTTAGGGTTGAACTCAGGGGTCCTTTACAGTGAGACACATCCCCAGCCCTTTTTGAATTTTGAAACAAGGTCTCACTAAGTTGCCTAGGCTGGCCTCAAACTTGTGATACTTCTGCCTCAGCTTCCTGAGTTGCTGGGATTACTACATTTGGCTTAATTTTTTGTATTTTTACATTTAAGCTGGTCTTAAAGTGTACAATATTCTTTCCATTGTTCTTATCTTTGGTGTATATGTGTGTGCTAGGAATAAACGTAGGTCTTACATATGCTAACTATACTTTCTACCACTAAGCTATATCCCTAGTTTTATTCTCTTTAATTTGAAACATAGTATATAAAGGTTTAATTAAAGTACATGTATAGATGCTCAAATTTTAGTATGTAAAATTTTGTGAGCATCACTCAGATTAAAATGTGGAGGCTTTTTGTTATCTCAAGAGTTTTATCAAGGGATCATGATGTTTATATTTTGTTGTCTACTTATTTGGCCCTATTGAAGATAGTAGATAATGTGAACAATGGCATTGACTATGAAATTTGCTTATTTAATTCCTACCTAGCAATCTATAAAGAATGCTTGTAGAGCAATCTATAAAGAATGCTTGTAGAGCAATCTAACTACACATTTAATATGACTTAATCTATACCAAGACTTATTCTGTTTTTGTTAGTCACATAAATCCTTTTATTATGCAGACATTTAATCTGGGTGATTTTTGCCCTCTCAGGAGACTCTGCAAATTGATGAAGATGATAGACCAGAACTAGTATGGTGGAAGTGTAAAAAGTGGGCTCTGCATATTGTAGCTCGTCTCTTTGAACGGTAATTTTCTGTTTATTACATTTAGCTTGTACAGTCAGTATAATAAAAGTGGATACTTCCCTTCTTGCTCTGCAGTTTATAATTATATGTCTTCAAAACCACAGAGGGCAAAAAGTCACCCTTGGTTTAAAGTGGCTTAATTGCGATCATTGGCTTTGAGATCATAATGAGGTAGGGAGCCTTCTCTGGCTCTTTTCTTTTATTCTGTGAAAAACATGGAAAAATAACATTATTCAGTCCATTAGAAATATCCAGGAATTATGTAAGAAGGTGCATGGCTATCAAGCTCCATTAGAAAGTAAAATTTAATTTTAAGAGCATTTATTGGGGAGATAGGGAAGAATGAAGGAACTTCGGATTGTGCAGAGGGCAATGAGGGGAGGGAAAGGGCTGTGGGGATGGGAAGGATGGTGTAATGAGATGGACATTATTACCCTACATATGTGTATGATTACACTACTGGAGTGACTCTGCACCATGTATAGCCAGATGAATGAAAAGTTGTACTTCATTTGTGTACAATGTGTCAAAATGCATACTACTGTAATGTATAAATCATTAGAACAAATTAAAAAATTTTTAAAAAAGAACATTTATTGAGAGAAATTTATTACATGTCAGATAAACATTTTATGGAAAGAAAATTATTACATGTCAGATAAGCATTTTTTAGTCCTACCATTAGTTCTGTAGGAACTCTTGATTTAGAAGGTAAAAGCTTACATGTGAAATTTTAAGTATGGCTCAGAGTTTGAGCACAGCTCTTTATGATTTCATTTTGTGCCTTCTGAAAAAGAGGAATGTGTTAGTTTTGTTACAATAGAATGCATCGTTCAATGACTATATTTAAGCTAGTGAGCTTGCTTTGTTTTTAAACTTCATAGTATTTGAAAATTTTCTTTGAATTTTAAGGTATGGAAGCCCAGGAAATGTCACAAAAGAATATTTTGAATTTTCTGAATTCTTCTTGAAAACCTATGCAGTGGGAATTCAGCAGGTAATAAGCCTTCACTTTTAAAACAGAAAATTATTTCCATCTACTCAAAGGTGAATTATAGACATACTAATTCATTACATTATTTTTGTGGTAGTGGGGATTGAAGCTAGGGTGCTCTACCACTGAGCTGCATTTTTCTTAAAATAGAAGTCTTAATTTATTTCAAAGAGCCAACAATGGAATAGAAATTAGACTTAGTCTGAGTATTTCTGCAGGTTAGAAATAGGACAAATGCCTGGGAGTCACAGCAAGACAGCCTTTGATTCAGTATAACATGAATGTATCTAATAATTATAAATGCCTATGTGAGCTTTCTCACAAAATATTGATTTCCTCCTAAATCTATTATTTTTAATCTCTATGTATTTTGGATTTTGTTATGCCTAAAGTGCCCCATCTCTTTTAATTTTAAAGTTGTTTTCCCATATTTTCTCTTCCTATTTTCCTGTAGGTACTACTAAAAATTTTAGATCAATATAGACAGAAAGAGTATGTAGCCCCTCGTATTCTTCAGCAAGCATTCAACTATCTCAACCAAGGGGTTGTTCATTCTGTAACCTGGAAGCAGATGAAGCCGCACATACAGGTAAGTGTCATAGAGTAGTTCTCCAGAATCGTTCTCCAGTTAACTTAGGTTTCCCAGGTAAAAGGAGTGTTATTAATCCTGTATTTATATTTAGTATCTCTTTATTTCCATTAATAACTTCTTATAAGCACAATCTTACATCTGTTATGGACTTGGAAAAATTTAGTCATTTGAAAAGAGCGAGGCCTTTTATTTTGAGAGTTGGAAGACTTGGATTCAGTTGACTTTGTTTAAAATCTCATTTATCTCAGTTTCTCTTCTGTTGAGGCTCATAACATTTCTTATCTAAAGGTTACTAGGATCACAAATTTTGTGAGAAAGTATTTTGAAAACTCAGTTGGGCTCTACTAAGACAGTATTATTGTATAGAAAATAAAATCTGATATGTGGACCGTTTTTCTTTTATAGGTCTGAGCAGAAAAGTTTTTTATTTTCTTTAGATTAAGTTCTTCGGTAGAAGTTAACATTTTCTGTTTTTATACCAATTGTTTACTTAAGGTAGAATTCAGCATTATTACTTACACTACAAACGAGAGTAAAAAATTATGGGCCATTAATAAATAACTCACACATAAATAATCCTGGCTAATTCAAAAACATTAGGAGCTGAATCACCACTTCCCAACTATGAGTTCTTCAGTTCTGTAAGTTGGTATGTAACAAGAAAATAAATTGTTTCACTTTTCCTTTGTGTCCAGAATAGGATTTGGTTAGCATTCTGTTACTATTAGTTTTAAAAATATAGTATCTTGGGGCTGGGATTGTGGCTAAGTGGCAGAGTGCTTGCCTAGCATATGTGAGGCACTAGGTTCGATCCTCAGCACCATATATAAATAAATAAAATAGACGTCCATTGAGAACTGAGAAGTACTTTTAAAAAAATATATAGTATCTTGTAGAACTTGGCTGAGGATCTGTTTTGTCTTGGGCTTTTCTTGATTGGTAGGCTTTTGATGGCATTTTCTATTTCTTTTTTTTTAGTTGTTGATGAACTGTCTTTCTTTCTTTCTTTTTTCAATTTTACTTATTTTTTCAAAGAACCAACTTTTTGTTTTGTCAGTTTTTTTCAGTTGTTTCTTTCGTTTCAATTTCATTATTTTCTGCTCTGATTTTAGTTACTTCCTGTCTTCTATTTTTGGTGTTGAATTGTTCTTTTTCTGTGGCTTTGAGTTGTAATGTTAGGTAATTTATATGTTGACTTATTATTCTTTTAATGAATGAGCTCAATGCAATGAACTTTCCTCTTAGTACTGTCTTCATGGTGTCCCAGAGATTTTGATACATTGTATTACTATTCTCATTTACCTCTAAGTATTTTTTAATTTCATCTCTGATTTCTGCTATTATTCATTCATCATTCAATAGCATATTATTCAGTTTCCAGGTATTACAGTAGCTTCTATTTTTTATTCTATCATTGATTTCTAATTTTTTCCATTATGATCTTATAGGGTATTACCTTTATTCTTCGTATTTGGTAACAGTTCCTTTATGGCATAAGATATGGTCTGTTTTAGAGAAGGATCCTTTCTTGAATTATTCAGTTTTGTATAAGTAGTTGTTAGAGCAGTGTAAGAGAGGCCACTAGTTTAGGACTCCCCTAAACATGCCATTTTTTTGTCGGGGGTGGGGGGATACTGGGGATTGAATCCAGGGCCTTGTGCATGCAAGGCAAGCACTCTACCAACTGAGCTATATCCCCAGCCCTAAACATGCAGTTTGGAGGTTGAAAATTAGTCTTTTGAAAGTGGAAGAAAAAAAAATTATAATATTGTTGATAAGTGGACATTTAGGACCAATGTGGAAATGTTAAGAATTTCAACATAAGAAATAGAAATATATCCCTGACTTGACATTTTTCTTCCTTAAAGAAATCAAAGTCTGTTTAATGTCAATTTGTTAGTAAAATTTCATTGTCCCTGTTGTTGCTTCAAAGAGTAGTTTATATTTGTTTCTTCCTCTGTGCTTTTACTCGCTGTTCAAAAGCAATCTTACCTGTAATTCTAACCCCTATGCCTGCTTGGGGACTTTTGCTTACTTGCTTTCATCATAGTGAATGCAGGCTTAAAAGAAGAATTACTATAATTGGAAGAATACGATCATAGAGACTGTCAATGAATACACTATTGGTATTCCCCAAATTTGAATAGCCCATACCCACTTGTTGTTTTGTTTGTTTCTCATCTTAGAATATCTCTGAAGATGTGATTTTTTCTGTGATGTGCTATAAAGATGAGGATGAAGAGCTGTGGCAAGAAGATCCATATGAGTATATAAGGATGAAATTTGGTACTTGAGATATTTTTTCCTTAATAGTTCCTGGATATGTAAAATAATATAACTATATTTACATTTTAAGCAGTTTTTTTTTTTTAATCACTTTGTTAAATTCCCAAAGTTTCACTTTATTTGTTTAACTGAAGCTCATGAGAGTTTGGTGTCCTTTTGAACAAGAGAATTTGAGGCCTTTGGGTGTGGGAGATGAAAATCCTCTGTATCTCTCTTAGGAGTGCTGAAATACTCATGAAGCCATCTGTTACTTAGGCTGTGTCCCGTGTGTTTTCAGGGACCATCTTTTTCTTTGTTCTCACCTACAGATTGGGTTGTTCTCAACTCTGAGACAGCCTTTAGATTTCTGCATGTTTTGGGGGCATCCTATTTCACCTGTCTCCTTTCCCTATGACTAAGTATTCCACAGGGAATAGGATTTCTTTTAGACGTACTGCATGTGCACGATTCTCTGGGGTTCTTTTCAGTTTGATCTTCCTGGACGCTGTTGAACTGTGTAGGTTGCCTAAGTTGTTTCCCTTTATCCTTCTTTAAGCACTTAACATGGTAAAATATTAATTTGTGTGTTTCTATCTCTCCCACAAGTTAGAAGCTATCTGAAGTCAGGAGGTTTGTCTTATTTGTTTTATTTTGTATTTTTTATCCTTTCCTCCCTCTGTATTCCTCTGCTAGTGCGTGGCCTTAATATGTCTTCAGTAAATGTCGAAATCAATTACTAGAACTAACACAAAGATGCCAAATGTGCCATGACAAAGCTGTGCTGTCATCTGTTCAGCCAGGTGTCTCTAGCTATCTGAGTTAAACTTACTGGTATGAGCATTAGATTATCAGACTCTGGTGTTTTTACAGGGTTTTGTAAGTGAGGAGGCACTTTTTCTCTTGGAGACAAAGTTCAGGAAGAGCAAATGAAACATTTACCACTTGCTTTGTTTCTTTATCCTATCTTTATTTTTTGAAACTCATGTGTAGAATTTATTACTTCCCCTTCCTTATGTATTTGTTTTCCTACTTTGCTTTGACAAGACAAAATGATTAGCTAATTTTCTCCTCTTTTTTTTCCCCGACTTGGTACCAGGGATTGAACCCTAGGGTGTTTTACCACTAAGCTACACTCCTAAGCCCTTTTTGTTGAGATGGAATCTTACTAAGTTGCTGAGGCTGATCTCAAATCCGTGTTCCTCCTGCCTCAGTCTCTAGAGTTGCTGGGATTATAGGCGTGTACCACTGCACCTGTTCTTCTTAGCTTCTTTATGCTGTGAATGGCATTATGTGGATTATTTTATTTTTTGGTCTGAATTATTGGTTGGTCAGATTTAAAATCTGTATCATAAGTCACTACATTTTTACTAATATGGTTTGACCTTTTGAAATCTTAGATATTTTTGAAGATTATGCTTCTCCTACCACAGCAGCCCAGACTCTCTTATATACTGCTGCAAAGAAAAGGAAAGAGGTATATAATTATTCTTTTTAATGTACCCATTGTATTTGAAAATTATCTTGTATTAGTTATAACCTAGTTTAAGAATATTTTTGCTCTAGTAAGGAAAAAGTATATTCTAATATACCCCTAGTATTCAAAAATAATATTATTATTAGTTGTAACTTGTCAGTTTAAGAATATTCTTTGTTCTAGTAGGGGAAAAGAGTGAAGTACTTTTGGTTAGTTTTTTTTTTTTAATAAATTGTACCTTTCTTATTGAGCTTAAGGTTATTTGATAAAACACAATAAAATGGTTTTTATTTTTGAAAATTTATATCATATTTAATACTTTATTAAGATAATGAAAGTTCTTGTAGACTAAAATGGATTCTTCTATTTCTTTAGGTGTTGCCAAAAATGATGGCATTCTGTTATCAAATCCTAACAGACCCGAACTTTGACCCTAGGAAGAAAGATGGAGCCCTGCATGTGATTGGTTCCCTAGCTGAGATTTTATTGAAGGTTAAGATTATCAAAATTTAATTTACTTAATAAAATTGCAAAGCACAGACTAATAAGATAGTATGAAAGTTATGGATAATTTAAAAATTATGACTTCCTCTGGGTGATTGAGTCAACGATACAGATCCTTCTTTTTGTAACCTATTTCTTTATTAAAAGAAAATTTGACTTTTGTCAGTTTTTACTTATGAAACTGCTCTATAAAAAAGGATACGAAATGATTTTAGTGTTATTATTTCTACAAAAATCCATTAATAGCTAATTGACTTATTGTGTTTTAAAATATGCAGTATGTAGGTCAGACAATTTTACAAAATTGTGAATAGATGTATATAAATGCAAGTCATAATAAACATGCTTTATCAGGAAGTGATTCTTACATATGAGAAAAGCCACTGATAAATTGAAATTTAATTTCTGTTTCCTAACAGAAGAGTTTATTCAAGGACCAAATCGAGCTATTCCTACAGAATCATGTATTTCCTTTATTGTTGTCTAACCTGGGATATCTTCGAGCTAGAGTAAGTTTTTTGTGTATCTATTTTATACCTTAAAATCCTCGTCTGTAAGAAAATTATTGAAATAAATGTGATATTTTAATAAGAAGTTCTTGTGTGAGGAATGCAGGTGTAGCTTATAGTTACAGTGCCTGCCTAGCATGTGTGAGCCCTTGGATTCAATCCCTAGCACCACCACCAAAAAAAAAGTTCTTGTTTATGTGACATTATTGCTCAGTGCCATAATCCTAATAGCTTTCTGTTTACTTTCTGCTCATACTATAGTCATGTTGGGTGCTTCATGCATTTAGTTCTTTGAAGTTTCACAATGAACTCAACCTCAGAAATGCAGTTGAATTAGCAAAGAAGAGCCTGATTGAAGATAAGGAGATGCCTGTCAAAGTTGAAGCTGCCCTTGCTCTTCAGTCATTAATTTCTAATCAGATACAAGGTAAAACCAAAAATGCCTTTTAGAAGGGTAATTTTTCATTCGCTTCCTTCCCTGATAAAGGGGGTTCTTTAGGTTCCAGGGGTTCAGAGTTTGGATTCCTGGGCTTTTGCTCCCTCAGAATTTTGTAGGGGATTATTCTTGTCCCTTTTTTAGGAGTTCCTATTGATTGTGGTTTCTGGAAAAGTTTTACATGAGGAACAAGTTAATAATTGCTGGGCACTAAGGTAGACTGGGAAGAGAGGCTTGGGTTCAGTTTTGATTTTGCTACTAATTTGTCGTGGAAAGCTGGGTGAGACATATGATCTGTCAAAGCTTAGATTCCACATATTTAAGCTTGAGGGGGTTAGATTAGATGGCTTCAGGATTTTTTTCAACTTTAGAATTCTTTGGTTCTACCAGTTCAGGAAAGTAATATTTCTAGGGAGTGATAAAACAAATATCTCATTTGTTTGTTTAGAAGAATGTTCTGTTCAAAGTTCAAATAAACCTTTACAAACAAATTCAGCTTTATGAAAAACATGAACCTTGTTTACCTTTATTTAACATGTTTTAATGGGAGGACTGGATTTTGTATGAGGATTTTCCAGGAGATCTGGGGGTAGAAATGGGTTAGGGTAGAGAGTGGGCCCCATCAGTGTTGGGGATAGTCTTTATGTACATGAGTTTTTATACTTGTCATCAAGACTGATGTAATATTTATGTTCTCCAAGTTATGCTGATGACAATATGTGTGGTTAGAATTTTTCAGTGGGAAATATTAGCATTTGGAATAGGACTGTCCTTTCTTATGTAGAACTGCTTATCCCTTTGATATTCTTGAAGTTGGTATAGTGGTGAACATTATTTGATGCAACTCTGTAACTTACTCACCATAGAGCATGAGTGCATCTAGAACCTTATCTAGGTATTACCTTGTGTCACTTGACCTGTTACCAAGTTAATTCCTTTTACTATCTGTGAATGGCTAACATTTACTAATTTTGTTTTGTTGCATTAGCTAAGGAATATATGAAGCCACATGTGAGGCCTATTATGCAGGAGCTGTTGCACATTGTTAGAGAGACAGAAAATGATGATGTTACTAATGTAATCCAGAAGATGATATGTGAATACAGTCAAGAGGTAGCCTCAATTGCTATTGATATGACCCAACACTTGGTAAGACATGACAGTTTTTTGTTAGTTTTGCTTGGAATCCTTGAGTAATCTAAATTAAACCCCATAATTTCAAGTTCAGTTTTATTTGTAACTGAAATACTAATATAAAAATGTTTGCTCTGATAATTCTGATATTCCTGTAGTTAAGCAGACTTGAAGCTAATAACATGTAGGATAATCTCTCTTCATCTGTAGTATCCTAAGATTTCATAATGTGCCTTGATGTGAACGTTCTAAATTTTTACTTTCTTAACTTTGATTCTGGTATCTCAATTCCTTTACATTGGGGCATTTTTGTTTTTGTTTTACCACTTTGATAAATTTCTCTCTACTGTTTTTTAAAGTCATTTTGCTTAATGACAACCAATAAAATTAGTTAACGGTTGTAATGACTAATGAATATTCCACATTGATAACTATATGGGGGAAATGGCTATATTTAAAATATGACAGATTCTATTTTTGTAAGAAAAAAGGTGATTTATTCATAAAGTGCAGAAATTAACGTTTGAGTGATGCTGATATTTTAATGTGTGACATTACCCTTTTGCTAATTTTTATAATGAGGGGGGTTGTAACAGTACCAACTGTTGAATATTTTAATATGTTTTGCATAGGCTGAGATATTTGGCAAAGTTCTTCAAAGTGATGAATATGAAGAAGTTGAAGACAAAACAGTAATGGCTATGGGAATTTTACATACTATTGACACTATCTTAACAGTTGTAGAAGATCATAAAGAGGTGGGATTTCTTTGTGTTTTATTATGACATAATAATGACTGAAATTTTTATGACTGGTGGGCATGAGTTTTAAAGTCTTGACCTTGAAGTTGCTATTTAGTTATGTTGCTAGGCTTTAAAAATTGCCCTCAAATTTTAAAAAAAAATTAAGAGGAACTATTACCTGTGCACTTAAAGTATATAGTATATCTCTCTGTATTAAAGAGTTTAGTTCATCATATCTGCTATGTGCCAGGCTAGGTTTTGTATAAGACATGAACCCTGTTTTCTGGGAACCCACAGTTCGGTCTTTGTGGTAGAGGGCAAATGTTAAGTAAAGGAATAGAATTCTGATGTTACTAGTATTGTAAGAATAGAAGAGTGGCAAGAACTTAGACATTTTTCATAAACCAATTTCTAAAATAGTATTGGGATAAGAATTTACAAAGACATGTATCCTGTGTCTTCACATCATTAGCTGATGTAGTCTTATTGATGCCATGTGTGTGTGAGAGAGAGAGAGAGAGAGAGAGAGAGCGCGCGCGCGTGCAGGTGTTGGTAGTCTCCTTTTGCTGAAACAGGCCAATAAGCTCAGGTAGGTTCAGGAGACTTGTTCATGGTTACAGAGCTAATAAGTTGTGCATTTAGGTTTGTAGTCAGATCATTCTGATAATGTATTGGTTTTTCCCCACCACTTAAAACCTGCAGTTCTCCTTCTGAATTATAATGTGGACTCACCTCAAATTAGATTTTTACTCATTACTTCTGTGAGCACAAGTTGATTGGTTTGTCAGGGATGGAGCTCTTGTTTTATACAGTGAGGACTTAGGGAGTAGGTGCCAGTTCTTTAAATAGCATGTTTTAGTCAGTTTTTTTTTTTTTTTTGCTGCTGTGACTACAATACCTGCCAAAAACAGTTTTGAGGAGGAAAAGTTTATTTATGGGTTCAGTTTCAGAGGTCTCAGTCCATAGACAGCTGGCTCCATTCCTTGGGACTTGAGTTGAGGCAGAACAACATGGCAGAAGAGTGTGTTGGAGTGAAGCAGCTGACATGATGATCAGAAAACAGAGACTCTACTCACCAGATACAAAAACATATACCCCAAAGGCACGCCCCCCGCCCCCCAGGGACCTACCTCCTCCAGACACACCCAACCCACCTTCAGTTACCATTCAGTTAATCCCATTAGGGGATTAATTCACTGATTGGGTTAAGGCTCATTTTTTCTCTAAACCTTCTTGCATTGTCTCACGTTTGAGCTTTTGGGGGACACCTCACATCTAAACCATAACAGCATTATTATTGTTAAACTATGTGACTGTTGATTTATCCTGTGTTTATCAGATATTAATGAGAGCTTCCTAGTGTCTTAAAAATGGTTCAGTATTCTCTCTTGGATGCATCTTCTTAATTGAAGGGCTTAATGTGAATTTTTATTTTCATAATCATCATTTTATTTTTTTGTTCATGTTGAAACTCTATGGTCCTCTTGTAACAGTGAGATATTCCAAGTTAAGTTATAATATGTATTGTAAGGATAGTTTTTTTCACCTTAAATTTGGAACTTATGCTTTAAATTTGAAGAGACCTTAGAAATCACTTATTCCAGTTTTTCTGAGTGTGGGTGAGGGTGTAAGAAGTAGGAGAATTAGCTTTAGGATTAGTTTGAAAACAAAATAGCATTTTGTCTTTTTGTTTTAATTTTTCACTATTGATATTAAATTTATTTTGAATTTCTAATAATGTTAAAGGAGCTGTGAACTCTGGTTTTCAAAGGAGGAGTGGGTTAAAACTGAGAAATACAAATCTAACTTCCTTACCTATACTATAGAGCAAAGCCTTAATGATTTAGCTAAATGGCTTTACTGAGGTCATGGGTAGTTAGAGGCAAAACACCAACTGAAATCTTGGTCTCTAGGTCACTTGCCCTTTAATTTTGAACTTTGCCTTGTTAAAAGCAAACTTTGAAAGCAGTATTTCCTTAAAAGGGAAAAAACCTATATCTGTACAAATACTTAATGCATGAAGAACAAAATTGGAAATCTGAAATAGGTGTTTAAGCATGTACATTTTTATTTAATGGTTTTAAGTATATTGGCAATTTTTAAACTGGGACATTTTGGATCATTTGAACTTTAGATAAATAGTTTAACATGTATCGGGTTACTAAACTGTATCCCACAAAAATGCACCATTATTATGTGAAAATTAAAAATAAAAACACAGCTGGATGTAGTGGTATGGATCTATAATCCCAGCTACTTGGGAAGTTGAGGCAGGAGGATTAGAAGGCCAGCCTAGCTAACTTAGACTGTCTCAAAACAAAAACAAACAAAAAAACTGGGAATATAGGGCAGTGCTAGAGCACTCCTGGGTTCAGGAGTTTAATCCCCAATACTTCAAAAACAACAATGAAGAAAATAATTGAGTATTAGAAAGTGCTTAAAAGATGAAATTGGATATTTACAGTAAAAATCTAACATGATGGATTTTAATTGTAACTTATTTAAAAAATGTTTAAAACAAATATGTTGAATGATTTAAAAGGTCTGAAAAGATTACTCAGTGAAATTTCACTTTCTTACTCAGTTCTCTAGTTGTCTTAATTTTATCCCTTGCAGAAGATAGCAAAGTTTTTTCAGGTTTTTTTGGTATTCTTCCAGAGGTTTTTCTACTGTCATACAAACAAAAAGTGTACATATTTTTCTTTTATGAACACAGTAACATACTATGCACAATTTTTAGCTACCATTTTCTATTTAATTCATCTTGGTGATCCTTCTATACCAGTCAGTAAACTTACATATTTTTAATGGTTGCATACTATTCTCTTGTATGATGTGTCAAATTTATATAACAGGTTGCTAGTTAATAGGAATAATTTAGATGTCCCTTGTTTAAATCGACATTGGTGAGAAATCACAAATATTGTTGCAATGAATGTTTTTGCATGTCATTTTGTGCACATAACAATGTCTGGAGGGTAATTTCTTGACGTGGAATTGTTGGATTAAATGGTATGTATATGAGTTAGTTCTAAGGATGTTGCTAATTTGTCTTAAATAGAGTGCGCCCATTTATAGTCCACGAATCAATGTACCACAATGTCTTTCTTTCCAGTCTCATACTTTTTGATCATTGGCAGTCTGATAGGTCAAAAGTATTAATATTGCACTTTGAATTTATAATTTTCTCATATTAGAGTAAACATCTTTTTTTATAAGCTTAAGGCTTGTTTAGATTTATTTTTCATAACCTTTGCCTGTTTTTCTGTTGATTTCATATAATGGGAATTTGATTTTTGTAATACCATTTGATAGTATTTCACTCAAATTTTTATTTTTGGCTCCATGCAGAAAATTTTAATTTTTGCAATCAGATGGTTCAGTTTTTTTTTTTTTTTTTAAATTTCTGGGCTTCGATTCAGTTTCCCACTTCAGGATTACACAAGAATTCTTTTTTTTTTTTTTTTTTTTTTTTTATTCTAGTATTTTTGTTTGTTTTAATTCTTTGCATCTGAAATCTTTATCCATTATAAATTTATTTTGGTATAAAACAGGTAAGGAACTAATCTAATTCACAGATTTACTATGGATTTATTCTTATCCCCATCTTTGGTCTACTTTTTGGAATTTCCTTGCATTTTTTAAAAATTTAGTTTTTAGTTGGACACAATACCTTTATTTTATTTATATGTGGTGCTGAGGATCGAACCCAGGGCCTTGCATGTGCTAGGTGAGCACTCTACTGCTGAGCCACAACCCCAGCCCCTTCCTTGCATTTTTGCATGGTTAATTTTTCACATGAAAATTAGAATTAATTTATCAAGTTCCCCTCAGAAATGTCTTGTAGGTATTTTTATTGGGATAATATTAATTTATATATTAACTTAAAGGTTATCATGATGAATTTTAAAGTAAATATTTAAAATTTGTTTTCAGATCACACAGCAATTAGAGAATATCTGTCTGCGGATCATTGACCTTGTTTTACAGAAGCATGTAATTGGTAAGTTCAGAGGTTAAATAAAAATCTGCAGTGGTGGTGCATGCCTGTAATCCCAGCGGCTCAGGAGGTTGATGCAGGAGGATCGCGAGTTCAAAGCCTGCCTCAACGCCCTAAGCAACTCAGTGAAATCCTTTCTCTAATTAAAATATAAAAATATTCCGGGGATATAGCTTAGCTGTTAAGTGTCCCTGGGATCAATTCCCTGTACCACCACCCCACTCCCAAAAAAGTTTAATTGAAGACTGAGGATATAACTTAATGTTGGAGCACTGGCCTAGCATGTGCAAGACCCTAGGTTCAAAACCCCTCCCCCGCAAAGAAAGATAATCGAGACTTTATTTTTCTCAATTTGATGAACTTAAAGTACATTTTTAGCCCTTCAATTTGACAGATGGACAATTTAGAGAAGGAGTAACTTATATAATATATCCAGTGAGAATTTTTGGCTTTGAAAAGTATAAAGGACAAAGAATGTTGTATTTTACATTTTTAGAAATGAACTGAGGTGAGATTTTGGTGAGATTCTTTAATCTGGGATTGAAAAATGTTTAAAAATAGAAATATTTATTGCTGGCAGTGTGAATTGTCCTGTTTTCTGTTAAAAGTGCCTGACTTGTGAGTAGAATCAGTAACTGATGCTAGATATTATGAGCTGATGGGTATTTTTGATAGAGGAGGCTACTTTCTGTAGTTTCAAGCATTTTGAAGATGCCAATCCCAAGACATGTGGGCATGAGAAAGACACAAGTTATTTAGTACTGATGTAGAAAGATGGCTTAAGAGTAGTTATCTCCAAACTTTTTATTGTTCACTCATTAGTAAAAAAAATTGAGCATGCATGTCTAATATATATTAATAGTATTTGAGATTATTTATTCAGTAAGTATTGATCTCACTCAAATACTTATAGTATTTGAGATTATTTGAATAAAATATGAATAAAATATGATACATGTACATACACACACAGTATTTACACAACCTTTAAAAAGAAGGAACTTTGGTCATTTGCAAAAATGTAGACGAACCTAAAGGAAATTATATGAAGTGAAATATATCGTGGGTGCCAGCACCTCACCAGGGAACCCTTTTCTGCTCAGAGGGATAAACCTCTAAAGAACTTAAAGTCTGAAATAATTAGTAAAGAACAAAATACAGAGACAGAATTATAGTTTTGAAGGATGGAGGACCTGATAGGTTCAGCCCTCACAGGAGCTGGAGCTGGACAATTAGAAAATGGTTCCCGTGGTTTATCTAAGGGGGTATATATGAAATGCAGTGATAAGGTTTTGAGGGTAGAATCTTGCTTTTGATGTCTTGCAGTCAACAGGTTGATTGGCATCTTGGCAGGTTTCACCCATCTCTGAGAGGCTGTGTGACAATAGCAGGTCACCCCATCTCCGGTGCTGTGTGAGACCTTTTTGAGCAGAGCTGAGAGGGAGTTCACATGTATTTGGGTGATCTTACTCTATGGGATTGCCACGGGAAGTTCCCAATACCAGACTTTCCCACTCCTTGGCTGCAATGCTGAAAAGATCCTCACATATAGTTCACGAATGGCTCTCGATAGAAATAAGTCAGAAACAGACAAGTACTGTGAGATCTCATGTGAAATCTAAAAACGTTGAACTCTTGGAAAGAGACACTAGAATGGTGGTTTCCAAGGGTGGGAGTGGATTGAGATGTGGAGATGTTGGTCAAAATGGTGACTATAGTTAATGTATTATATACTTGGAAATTGCTAAGAGAGTAGTTTTTGTGTTTTCACAACAAAAAAATAAGTATGTGAAGTAATGGATATCTTAATTAGATGATTTAACTATTCCGGAAAACATGTATATTTCAAAACATTTTGTTGTACACTATAAAATGCACATTTTTAATTTGGCCAATTAAAAAATACGTAAAAGATAATTTTTAAAAAGTATGTGTTTCAGTAAAATGATCAATACTTGCTAGGGACTAGGAATGGGAGAGGGAAGGATGAATATGTGGGAATACGGGATGTTTAGGACATTGAAACTCTTCTGTATGATACAGTATTGATAGACATATGTCATTATATACATTTGTCAAAATGCATAAAATGCAGTATAAAGAATTAACTGTAAAGATTTTTAATAGTAGTAGTAGTAGTAGTAGTAGTAGTAATAGAATAGAATTTCCAAAATACTGGATAGTATTCTATCCTGGATATGTACCACATTTTCTTTATTTATTCCTCTGTCAATGGGCACTTAGCTTTTTCATTTCTAACTATTACATCTCTTCAAGATCTTGATTTCAGTTCCTTTGGCTATGTATCCATTAGTGGTTTTGCTGAATCATATGGTAGTTCTGGTTTTTCTTTTTTGAGGAACCTCTACATTGTTGTCCATGTGGCTGCATGACTGACAGTGTTTGAGGATTCTCTTTGGTCAACATCCTCTCCAGCATTTATCTTTTTGATAATAAACGTTCTAACAGATGTGAGTTTTAATCTGCTTTAATATGCATTTCCCTGATGATTAGTTATATTGAGCATTTTTTTCATATACTTATGGGCCATTTACATGTTTTCTTTTGAAAATATCTATTTGTCTTTTTATTTTTTGAGATGAGGTCTAACTGTGGCTTGGACTGAAGCAATCTTGCTTAAGCCTCCTGAGTAGCTTGGACTATGGGAACATGCCAGATTGCCTGATTCCAATTTTAAAATTATATTTTGTATTTTCTTGCTGTTGAATTAAGTTCCTAATGTATTTTGGATAGTAATTCTTTATTAGACATATGATTTTCCCCCCAGATGTATGGTGTACAAATATTGTCTTGCATTCTATAGATTGTCTCCGCACTCTATTGTTTCCTTTGCTATGCAGAAAAATTTTAGTTTGACATAATTCTGTTTGTCTATTTTTTGCTTTTGTTTTCTGTACTTTTGGGGTCATAAAAAAATTGCTCCCCAGAGGAATGGCACAGAACTTTTCCTTCTGTTTTCTTGTAGTAGTGTTATAATTTCAGGTCTTAATGTTCAAGTGTTTAATTCATTTTGAGTTGATTTTTGTATATGGTATGAGATGAGGATCTAATTTCATTTTTCAGTATGTGGATATCCAGTTTTATCAGCACCATTTATTGAAGAGACTGTCTTTTCCCTATATGTGTTCTTGTGCTTTTTTTTGTAGAAAATGAATTGAGTGTGAATACATGGATTTATTTCTAGGTTTTCCATTCTATTTTACTGATTTTATGCCATGTTGAAACTTTCAGAAATCCTTTATTCAGACAATTTGTTGGTTTTCAAGTGATTACCTTATATATAGCAGATTATTTCTCAAAATTTATACTTTCTATCTTATTTTACTTTTAATAAGGCAAATGTCTGTATTAGTAGCTTCTGAATATGTTCTTTTAAGTAAGACAAAGAATATATTATTCAGGCTTTCAGGTAAGTATTAGTTACCTTTCTGAGACAAAAATAAAACTTTCTAGTTCGACTTCTTGGCTCAGTGACATGGTAGGAGTTATTTGAAACTTAGAGTGAGGCTTGTCTTTTCTGATTATATATTTAGCTATAATTTACTTTTGATTGAGGGTGATGGTATTAAATATGTGTGAATGTAAGAACATTTCTTTTGAACTCTTCTACTTTACAGTGGGTATAATTTTTTTTTTTTTTTTGTACTGGGGATTGAACTCAGGCACTCGACCACTGAGCGATATCCCAGCCCTATTTTGTGTTTTATTTAGAGACAGGGTCTTACTGAGTTGCTTAGCACCTCACCTTTGCTGAGGCTGGCTTTGAACTCAAGATCCTCCTGCCTCAGCCTCCCGAGCCACTGGGATTACAGGTGTGTGCTACTGTGCCCCGTGGGTATAATTGTTTTGAGGTAAATTAAAGAATACTGTGCAAATCTTTAAGTTTTATGGATTGAAAAATACTGGTAGCAACAATTGCTTTTAAAAATATAAATGTGAAATAGGTAGATATTTCAATCCCTATGTAATTAAGCTCTTTAAAGAATATTATTATTTGTAAGTTTAAAATCCTCTACGTGAAAGAGGTATGATAATCTATTCCTTCTCTCATGCATTCTAATATAATTTTATAAAAATAAATTATATTTTGTTATAAAATAGAAAAACTTATATTTTTTCCAGTATTAAAAGAAAGTTTAGTAAAAACAAATTTTTGCCTTGCCTCAAGTTGAGGACAAGTCTTGAAGGCTGAAAGTGCTGATGCTGAGAAAGGGATGCTGGTAAGCACATTAAATATAGGAGGAACGTGTGTTGCTCCTCTGCGTGGTCTTTGCGTTTAATTTTTGCTATTTCTGGTGTTCTAATGAGAGATTTTTTTCCTTCTAGAATTCTATGAAGAAATTCTTTCACTGGCATATAGTTTAACCTGTCACACAATTTCCCCTCAAATGTGGCAACTTCTAGGTATTTTATATGAAGTTTTCCAGCAGGATTGCTTTGAATACTTTACAGGTATGGCTTTGACCATATAGCCTTTTTACTTTCTGGTTCTGGATATTTATTCCTTTGACACTTCAAATATCACACATGATTCTAGCACTAATTAGAAAATGTTCTTATTTTTCTGTCATGAATAGGGTGGAGCTGTTGTAGCAGTGTTTATATATAATCAAAAGAGTTAGGCTGTATTTCTTGTTGTGTTAAGTTACTTTGCAACCAGAGCACATGTCCTTATGTTAATTCAATAAATATTTTCTGAATGTCAGCTATGTTCCATATGCTCTTCTAAATTCAGTAATATGGCAGTGAACTTCAGAAACCCTTTTGAAGCTTGCATTCTGGTGGGGAATGGGAGAGAGCAGGGAAGTATTCAGGTGAATAAGCAAAAATTCAGGACAATCACTACAATAAATGGTAAGCATCTTAATCTTTCAAATTCACATTTTCCTCATTTACAAAAAGGGCAGACCACCTTCATTTCTAGCATTTTGTAGTTGCTAGGTAAGAGAGTTATGTTGGGCATTACGGAAGTGTGGTTTCACTAGGAATAATTATTTCTACTCCTGTTGCTCAAATCTCATTGGGATTTTGAATTTTTTCTTAGACATGATGCCTCTCCTGCATAATTATGTGACAATAGATACAAATACTTTACTATCAAATCCAAAGCATTTAGAAGTACTTTTTACAATGTGTAGAAAGGTAAGCATATCCTAATCAATTGTCACAGTGTTTCTTACTAATACTTGAATATTTATATCCTTTATCAACATGTATTTGTCAATTTGCATTTTCAAAATGAATTTGGGGTTGTTGTAATTTGAAAGTTTCACGATATATGTTGTGCTTAAAATGTTTACTACTTTAATATCTACATTATAATTTTGAAGATAAATATAATTGTTCCTTAGAATTTTTAAAAAAATATTTTTAGCAGTAGATGAACAACTTTATTTTTATGTGTTGCTGAGGATCGAACCCAGTGCCTCCCATATGCTAGGCAAGTGCTCTACCACTGGGCCACAACCCCAGCCCTGTTCCTTAGTATTAATGAAGAATTGATTTCATGATCCCCATGGATGCCAAACTCTAGGAATGCTCAAGCCCATTGAGTAATAGGGGATAGTATTTGCATATGATCTATGCACATACTTTCTATATACTTTAAGTCATCTCTACGTATAGTAACTGATACAATGTAAATACTGTGTAAATAATTGTTATATGATAAGACTATGTATGTGTTCAATACAGATGTAGTTCTTCTAAAAAGTATTTTTGATATTTTGGTTGAATCTGGATAGGTAACCTATGGAGGACCAACTGTACTTCTCTACTTTTTTCTTTCTAAAATATAAGCTCATTACTTAATTAAAGAAATGTGCTAAGAAAAGCTAGGAAAACTGGCCACACAATTTCCCATTCTGTCATTGATCTTTTCTTATTTGATTGAATGTGTATATTGGAAATCACGAGGTATAGGTAATTTGAACATACACAATATAAGACAAAATTTTTTTTTTTTTTTTTTTTTTTTAAGCAGTACTTGGAATTGAATCTAGGACCTCATGTATGCTAGACAAGAGCTCTACCACTTGGCTATAAACCCAGCCCCAAACAATTATAGTAGTTAGAAAAACAGCATCATTTAGCTCAGGACAAGATCATTTATAATCCCTGTAATGGCAATCCTTTTTTTTTCTTATTTTTTATTTTATTTGTTTATTTCTGTGGTGTTGAGGATTGAACCCAGTGCCTCACATGTGCTAGCCAAGTACTCTACCACTGAGCCACAGCCCCTGTGCCCTAATTTATTCTTTATTTTATTGTTATTATTTTTTTATAGCTATTCTTATCTTTATGCACAAACATGATTGTCTACTGTGTTGTCTTTATAGATTAGATTTAGGCCTCTGTTGGTTATGTCTTGGAATCTTTGATGGCTAAATAATGTTTTCCTTCTCATTTAGATAATTATTGGCGTATACATAAATTTAAAACTATATTGCCTAAAGCCATCAGGCAGATTTTAGAAAGCTTAACTAGCCTGAAAACAAAAAGTTTGATTCTGGAGTAGGGAATAAAATAGCAAGTGTGTATAACCCATTATTCTCACTGGAAGAGATGTGTACCAGAATATGGTAAGAGCTGTGAAGTGAAAATCAGTCTGTCTCTTTTAGGTTCTAGTTCATTATTAAAAGCCTGGGAAATTTTGGGAAGTCATTAAACTTCACATCTAAGCTGTGATATTTAAAAACCTCAATTTAGCACTGCGATAGCCCATCTTGTTAAATCAAAATCACTGGCATCTTCAGTTTTCCCGTTATGGAGACAGAAAGGGAGAAAGAAAACAAGTAGAAAACAGCAATCCTGTATGTTCCATTAGTAACTCAGGTGCTCTGTGTTAAAGCATGTACACTAAAACTGATACTCATAATGTCCTTATACTTACCAAGTAGTTAAAATATATTTCATATTCTTGGTTTTAATATCAATTATATTTACTTAATTCTCAATATATCAGGTATTTTCTGAGCACTTTATACATACTGACTTTTTTAATCTTTGTAACATTATGAAGAAGGTGTCACATTTTTATTAATGAGAGAACTAGGGCATGATTTAATTTCTTTTGCTGTGGCTAGAGTTTAGTAAATTGTTTTAAATCACATAGCTACTATGTGTTGGAGGCAGATTTGAAGCCCAGGTAGTCTAGTTCCAGAGCCCTCTCTACCTGTTTAGTGGTTCTGGGGATTGACCCCAGTGGCATTCTCCCATCAACATACCCCCTCTTCCTTTAAAAATTTTTTTTTGAGACAGGACTTCGCTAAGTTGCTGAGGCTGGCCTAAAACTTGCCATCCTCCTGCCTCAGCCTCCTGAGTTGCTGAGATTACAGGTGTGTGCTACCATTCCTTGACTCCATTTTTAAAATTACAGGATGTATCTTGTTTCTTTCCCTTTGAGAAAACAGAAATCAATTAAGCAAACAAGTTTCCATGTGAGTGCAATTTTGGGAAATGTTTTTTTTTTTTTTTTTTTTTTTCATTACATATCTTACAAATCCCTGAGGTAGGTACTATTATCCTCATTTTATAGATGGAAAGTAAGACACAGGGGTTAAGTGGCTTTTAAAAGTACAAGTAATGATTGGCAGAGCTGTACTTGTTCCAGAGCTGTTTTAGAAGCTGGATTTTGTACATTGTCCTGGAGGGAGAGATTTAAACTTATGTAAATAGCCCTCACTCTTAGCTCTGCTGTCATCTGCTTATGAATCAGTTCACTATTTTCCAGCTTCCAAAATTTTTACTGGTGTATCTTTCCTTTTCTCTTTGTTGAATATGTGCTGTTAAAAACTCTTCACTGTTGTTTTAGTAACCTCTTGGGAGGGAATGCAATTAAATAGGAATGTTCCTCTGTTGTCTTTCTCAAATCAGTTTTTTAAAATTGTATTTTTCTAGGAAATAATTCAATTTGTTTAGGTTTTCAAAGATGGAAATAGTGTTCCCCATATTCCTATTTCTTATTTCTCTTTTATATTTGTCTTACATTTCTAATATATTTAAGTTTTTGCTTTGTAAACATTTGGCAAGAGTTGTCTACTTAGTCTTTTTTTTCTTAGTGAATCTGCTTTTGGTTTCTCTTTGTAATCTCTTTGTATTTTAAATCTGCTCTCATTTTTTTCTATTTTTTTGGGGTTAAGTCAGTTAATTTTCTTATGTTTTGTGTTTGGACTCATTATTTTTTGTCTTAATTTCTAATATAAGCATGTTCTACTCTAGGAACCTCTCTTCTAGGGATCATAAGAAAATTATATTCCATATTTTACATATGAACATGTTTATTATAGAATCATTTATAATAGCAAAAATACAGAATTGACAATAGAAAAACAGTTTAGTAACTTTGTTATATTCATGTACTATTGTACTATGTCCTACTATATGTAACATGAATAGTTATAACATCCAATGAAAATATTCTAATTATGAATTCCAGGTAGGAAAATTAAAAAATGTATAGTATCAAATTACAGTTATGAAAAAAAATGGGCAAAAGAGACAGAAAAATAGTTTGCTTGAAAAGTTATTTTGTTTTCATTGCTGCTTTAAAAGGGAATCTTTATTTATCTGGATAGTTAATGCAAATAGCTTACTTTATTAATTTAGAGTCAAATGAGTGAATTATTATGCCTTATAAGGAATTAGAGTAGGTACTAGAGAAGATAAATGGACTTTATTTTGACCTTCCCTTCTTTGGGTTGATAAGTAAACTTGGAAAGCTATAATCCCTATGATTGAGTTTGTATAGAATATTTACTTCAAGTGGTCTTGATTAAATTGCATGCAATACCACTCACTACTGAGGTAAATTGTAATTGCTGTAGGTACTATGTGGAGATGCAGGAGAAGATGCAGAATGTCATGCAGCCAAACTTCTTGAAGTCATTATTCTTCAGTGCAAAGGAAGGGGAATTGATCAGGTAATACAATTCTGGAAAGTGTCTAAACATTCAGATTTAAAATTTATATGCCTGATTGACATTTTCTTTTGATGCAAAATTTAAAAGATAGCCTATAATTTGTGCTTGTGGGTGCAAATTTTATTTAAATGACCAAACAATCATGCATTTTGGAGATTGTACCTTGCATCCTAGCTGAGAAGGATGCACAATAAATATATAATAATTTAAGGAGCTATGAAATAATGAAAGAAATAAGTGTGTAAGTAAATTTTACTTATTTGGAGCCCTAGTGTTTGCATGTTTCTCTTTTATTTTTTGGCAGTGCTGAGGATTAAACTCAGGGCATCCCACACGCAAGCACTCAACTGTCATGCTCTCTAGTACATTTCTTTGTTTTTGTGTATACTGTTTAAATACTCAACAAATATCTTTTCTAAACAGAAATTAAGATACTATGAAAAAATGAAAAGGAGAAAGTTTCTCTTGACAAATTTAAAAATTATAAATTTATATTTTCTTTTTTATAAGATAAATTTATAAATTTTCAATGAGATTACTTTTTGGTACTATTATGATATTCAATGATTAAGTATACATATGGAGGCATTAGAGTAAAATTGTGAATTTCTCTTTAGTTTTGTATTTTTCTTTTATTTATTATAATAGTAGTATGGATATAATTCACATGATATACATTTTACCCATTTAAAGTGTACACCTTGATGATTTTCATTGTATTCACAGAATTGTGTAACTATTGCCATGATTTTATAATATTTCATCATCTGCCCCACCCAAAAATAGTAACCTTTCCGTTTTCATGGGCAATCACTTTTCTCCAACACTCCTCTCTCACTCCCTCCAGCCCATGCAATCACTACTGTATTTCCCATCTTTATAGACTGGCCTATTCTGAACACTTCATGCAAATGGAATCACATTATATGGAATCACATTATATGATCCTTTGTTGTAGGCTTCTTTCACTTAAGGTTCTCAAGGTTAATCCAAGTGGTAGTGTATCAGTTCCTTATTTCTTTTTGTTGCCAAATAATATTCTATCATGTAGAAATATCACATTTTTCATTCATTCACCAATTGTTCATCATCTGAGTTATTTCCCTGTTGTGGTTATGATGAGTATGCTGTTATGAATGATTGTGTATACGTTTTTATGTGGACATATTTTCATTTCCTATGAGTGGAATTGCTGGATAATGTGGAATTCAAAGTTTAATCATTTGAGGAATTGTCAAACTGTTTCTATTCCCCAAAGGAGTGAAGGTGGTTTTCCATTTCTTCAAGTCCTTGACAACACTTGTTTCATCTTTTTGTGATAGTCATTATAGTAGGTATTAAGTAGTGTCTCATTGTAGGTTTTTTTTTTTAGTTGTAAATGGACACAATACCTTTCTTTTATTTTATTTTTGTGTAGTGCTGAGAATTGAATCTAGTGCCTTGCTCTAGTTTTTTTTTTTTTTCTTCTCTGATAGTTAAGGATGTTGAAGATCTTTTCAAGGATAATTGACTTTGTATACTTATTTTTTTTTTTTTGAGAAATGTCTAATCAAATTCTATACTTATTTTTAATTTTTAATTGCATTGTTTATTGTGGAATTGTTGGAATTCATTATATATTCTAGATTCAAGTCCCTTGCAGATAAATGATTTGCACAAATTTTCTTTCAATTTGTAGGCTGTCTTTTAACTTTCTTGATCATATCCTTTGAAGCACATCAGTTTTTAATTTTGGTGCTGTTTAGTTTATTTTTTCTTTTATTGCCTGTTTAGTGTCATATTTAAGAAAAATTTCTAAATCCAAGATCACTAAGAATTTCATAGTTTTAGCTCTTATACTTGGATCTTTGCTCCATTTTGAGTTAATTTCTTGCATATGAAGTGAGAGGAGCTCTAAATTACTTATTGCATGTGGATATTAAGTTGTTTCAGCACAGTATACTGAAAAGACTTTTCCCCCATTGAGTTTTCTTGGCACCCTTGTCAAATCAATTGACCTTAAATGTGAGGGTATTTTTTCTGGGCTGTCACTGTGATTTACTTATTTATCTGGTTTTACAAGTAACTGCTGTATCTTTATTCCTGTAGCTTTGTGGTAAGTTTTGAAATCAGGAAATTTGAATCTTCCAACTTTATTGTTTTGCGAGATCATTTTGGCGATTCAGGATCCCCTAAATTTCCACGTATGAATTTTAGAATCAGCTGACCAATTTTAGTAAAGAACCCAGCAGGGATTGGGATAGGCCTTGTTTGGAATTTGTAGATCAATTTGGGAGGTATTGCCATTTTAAAATATTTAGTATTTTAATCCCTAAACATGGTATGTCTTTACTTTTATTAGATCATCTTTATGTTCTTTCAATATTTGATAGTTGTCAGAGTATATGGTTTACAATTCTATTCTTAAAATATTTCTATGTATTTTATTCTTTTTGATACTATTATAAGTAGAATTGTTTTCATAATTTTATTTTTAGATTCATTGCCTATGTATAGAAAAACAAATGTGTTTTGTATGTTTATCTTCTACTACTTGCTAAACTCATTTGTTTTAGTAATTACTTAGGATTTTTTATATAAAAGATCATATCATCTACAAATAGTTTTACCTTTCTAATTTGGATGCTTTTTATTTCTTTCTCTTGACTAATTGCCTGACTAGAACTTTGTATCCCATGTTGACTGCCTTTGGTGGGAGGTGACATCTTGTCTTGTTCCTGGTCTTAGGAAGAGAAAACATCCTGTCTTTTACCATTAGATCTAGTGTTAATTGGGGTTTTTCTTTTTTTTTTTTTAATTTTAATATTTATTTTTTAGTATTTGGCAGACACAACATCTTTGTCTGTATGTGGTGCTGAGGATCGAACCCTGGCCGCACGCATGCCAAGCGAGCGCGCTACCGCTTGAGCCACATCCCCAGCCCTTAATTGGGGTTTTTCAAAGATGCCCTTTATCAAGTTGAGGGAGGTTCTTGACTATTGCTAGTTATTGAATATTTTTATCATGAGGGGGCTTGAATTTTTGTCAAATGATTTTTTTGGCGTCAATTGAGATGATGTGGTTTCCTCCCCTTCTTTCAGTTTTCAGATTTTAAATCAACTTTACAGCCCTGGTACAAACTTGGGCATAGAGTATAATTCATTTTATGTATTTCTAGACAAAGTTTGTTGATTTCCTCCCTCCCTCCCTCTCTTCCTTCCTTACTTTTTTTTTTCTCTTTTTCCCTTCCACTGTGATTACAGGTATGCACCATTATGTCTGGCTGTGTCTGTATTCATAAGAGAGATTAATATAGAATTTTCATTTCTTGTGATGTCTTTGGCTGGCTTTGGTATCAGAGTAATGTTGGCCTCAGAATTTTGGAAGTTCTCCCCTATTCTCTTCTTTCCAAGAGTTTGTGAAGGATTGGTATTCTTCTATGTTTGGTAGACTTCAGTGGTTAGTTGTAAACTTACTATCACAGTCTCTTCATTTGTTAGTCTATTCATATTTCCAGTTTTTTTTTTTTAAATCAATTTCATTATCTAGCATCTTTCTAGAATTTGGCCATTTCATCAAAGTTGTCTAGTTTGTTGACATGTGGTTGTTTATAGTGATTCTGTACAATTCTTTGTTTTTTTCTATAGGAGTGGCAATAATGACCTTATTTTGTTCCTGATTTCAGCAGTCTTCTCTTTTTTCCCTTCGGTAATTGACTTAATGGTTTTGTCAATTTTGTCCATCTTTTTAAAGAACTAACTTTTGGTTTCATTCTTTATTTTCTGTTTTCCATTTTTTAGTCTCCCCTCTAATCTTTATTTTTTTTCTCCTCTGTTGATTTGTTATTCTTTTTCTAGTATTTTAAGGTGGAAGTTTAGGTTATCAATTTGAGATCTTTCTTCTTTTTTAATATAAGAACCTATAGCTATAGATTTTCCTTTCCGCACTGATTTAGATAAATTCCATAAATTTTGATATGTTTGTTTTATTATCTCAAAATGTTTTCTAATTTCCCTTGTGATTTATTCTAAACCCACCAATCATTTAGAAGTATTATTTTTAATTTTTGTGAATTTGTAGATTTTCAGAAATTTTTAAGTTTGACTCCATTGTGAGTGGAGAACACATTTTGTCATATCACTCCTTTTTAAGACCTTGGGGGTTGTTTTATGCTTTTCATCTAGTCTGTCTTAGTGTTCTGTGTGCACTTGTGAATAATGTATATTCTGCTGTTCTTTGATGTGTTCTGTAGGTGTTTGTTAGGTCTGGTTGTTGGTTTATAATGTTAAGTCCTGTATATCTTGATGATCTGCCTACTTGATCTGTCCATTATTGAAAGTGAAGTATTTAAGTCACCTGCAACTATTGTTGGATTGTCTACTTCTCTAATTTCTGTTCATTTTTGCTTCATATTTTTTTTGGCTCTGTTGTTAGGTTTGTGTATATTTATAATGGTTTTAGCTTTCTGATGGATTGACTCATTAGTCAAAATTTCTATTTCTAGAAACTGTTTTAATGTCTATTTTGTCTGATATTATCTTTTTTCATAGTTGTGTTCCCTGATATATTTTTTTTCCAATGGTTTTGCTTTTAATCTATTGTGTGTATTGAATCTAAAGTGTTTTCTGTATACAGTTTATAATTGGATCTTGTTTTTTTAATCCAATCTGACATCCTGACATTCTCTGTTATTGTTACATGTGGATTTAGTCAATTTTTTATATCTCATGTGTTTTTGTTCTCATTTTTTAATCCTTTATCGGCTTTATTTTGATTAAGTAAATATTTTCCAATGTCACATCTTAATTTCTTTAATTATTTTTTTTCACTATACTTTTTTTGATCTCTTAGTGGTTACTCCATATTTTTTCACTATTTAAATTTTTTTGGATGTTAAAAACTTTAAAGACATGACTAAAGTAGTGTTTGATATAAATAGTGATTGTTCATTTGATTCACAGAGAAGCCCAGTGAGAGATTCCATCTGAAATGAAGTACGCATAGGCCAGGAAATTGGACAG